TGTGATGTACCAAGTTTTCAAAATTTTGGAAGAAATTTGGAAAACGTTCTTGCTGCCGTTCTTTTCATGTTTTGGTTCAGGATATTGACTTTATTTTTATGTGTTTAAGGTGAGGGATCCAAGAAAGACGGAAAATGATTGATAGACCTAGATATTTTAAATTGTTTGTAAATTTGATTGGTATGCCATGCTCTGAATTTTTATTGACGGTTTCCTCCTTAGTGGGGGCTCAGCCCCTATAAGTAGAGCTTGCGTTTTTGAAGAGGCAATGGTGATTTATGCTCTCTTGTCCAATTACTTATTGTATCCAATTTGTTGCTGTTGTGCTACTGTTTCCAATTTTGAGCGCCCTTTGACTACTTAATAAAACGTCGTCCGCAAAGTCTCTCAAGTCACAGTGAGCATTGTTATTGAATTTCTTCAACAACGAATCTTCAATTAAGATCCACAAAATTGGTCCTAGACATGATCCCTGCGGACATCCCCTCTGTAACTTTTTATAAATAGGTCCAGAGTCAAGCGTAATTTGAATAATTCTATCCTTAAGTAACTTCGTGTTAGTGAAATGAGATCGGAGGGACATTTCATGGTGACCAAAGCATTAATTATGACCGGCCATTATAATGAGTCAAATGTCCCCTGGATATCAAGGCAAACAACCAGTGAATGCTGTTTATTATCTTTATTTCTGAGTACTATTTCCATAAAAAAAAAAGATATAGCCATTTTCGTCGATTTGCCTCTCAAAAATCCAAATTGTGATTTGTTCAGGATGTCGTATTGTAAGAGGTGATATTGTAATCTTTCCAGTATAATCCTTTCCAATAATTTTCCAAAACCATGCATCAAACAAGTGGGTCTATAAGAAGTTATGAGGTGTGGATTTTTACTATTCTTGTGAAACAGCGAAACGTCTGCTATTTTAGTACTTTTCGAGAAGTATTGCATCTTCCAACAAGTTTGCATTAATGTATGAATCAGTCTCGGAGCGATTTCAAAAAGCATCTTAATTTTTCTGTTATCTATTCCATCTGGCCCTGGAGCCTTTTTTAAATTTAGATTTTTAACAATTCTACTGATTTCTAATAATGTTGGTAGATATTCTGAAGGCGGAACGGAAGGACTGAACTGAGTAAATGAATTTCTTAATGTCAATTGTGCGATAGAATTTTTTTCACCACTGTCCGATTTAAAAAAGCCAATATACTGTAAAACAAAGTACCGTATACTGTATAATACTACTGTATACTGTATAAAAAAGTAATTGTATACTCTATACAATATACTGTATACTGTATAAAAGTAATTGTATACTCTATACAATCCGATTTAAAAAAGCCAATATACTGTAAAACAAAGTACCGTGTACTGTATAATACTACTGTATAAAAAGGCCAATATACTCTGAATATACAGGGTGAATCTGAACAAGTGAGCAAAATTTAGGGGGGGGGGACTTTATAAGAGCAATATTTGTTATAGAATGTATGGTCGCACCGCAAATGGTGAGGAGTTTAAAGGGCTCTTTTCCCCTGTCAAGTTTAAAGAATTAAAACTAGAGGAGATTATTGAAAGAACATGTTCATAGAAATTACTCCAAAGACTTTCCGCCAGCTGTAAAGCAGGCTTCGCACCTGCGAGATAGGGACTGACGCACATTTTTGAAGACACCAGCCATTTACCAAATATCGCCTGCAACAACGGCGATCCTGGCGACTAGATCCATATTGGTTTCAATTGGGGCACTCGTAGATTAGGCTTTCATATTGCCCCACAGAAAAAAGTCCAAACAAAAAAAATACGGTGATCTTTGTGGCCAAGCTACAGGATCACTCGACCGCTTTCTGTCATTGTCATGGAAATATCGTGGTTCATATAACCAGCCATGCTCTCGGTAATCCACGGTAGAAAATGTCGTTGGGGGCGATACTGCGATATACGGTGTTTATTCTCGGGTTCTATCGCCTGAGCGATACTTCCCAGATAAATAAGTGAGTTCCTTGCGGAGCTGAAATTTTCCTGAAATTACACTGAAAATTTCCCTGAGTTATCTCCGTAGAAGGATGTAGATAATTCGAGAAAAAAATGCCGTTCGGTGCGAGAACCAACCCTTTTTATACCATTTATTTACAATGCCACCTAGCGGCTCGCCGTTTAGGTTCCAACCACACATTCTATGACGAATATTCCTCTTATAGCTGCCTTCTATGACACCCTAAAGTTTTTCGCATTTGCTCAGATTCACCCTGTATAATGGAAGAATAAACCTCTTGCAGTTTTGGTCATAAAACAGTTGATCACGACCACAGGTCTTTTTGATTTGTCTAGAGCAGGAATTACCAATCTTTTTCTTGCATCGAGCCCTTTTGAAAGAGTAGTTTTCTTCATCGATCTCCCCTTATATATTTATATATACATATAGCATACAACGTAATCATAATACAAATAATTGCTCGTAGATAACTTAAACATAACAGGTATAAGGTATTCTTCCGCCTTCTTAGCAAGCCTTCGTGGTGTAGTGGTCTGCACGCTCAGCGCGTAACTGAGAGGTCAGCGGTTCGATTCCCGGCGAAGGCGTTGCATATTTTTCATTTTGCCTGCTTCCAAAACATACTTTATGGCTCTACAGTGGCGCCCGAACTGAAAGGTTGTTGGATGATGATTATCCTCACCCAGGGTTTGGCGATTGGTTCCCCTAAAAAACCCCAGTTGCCCTTTAAAAGAGGGAGTATATAAGATATTCTCCCGCATTTTTAGCGAGCCTTCGTGGTGTAGTGGTCTGCACGCTCAGCGCGTAACTGAGAGGTCCGCGGTTCGATTCTTGGCGAAGGCTTTGCATTTTTTCATCTTGCCTGCTTCTAAAAAAAAATCTAATGTCTCTACAGTTAGACTAAAAATATGAACAAAAGTTTTCGAGGGGAGAGAAAATGTTTTCTTAAACTTATGGTTTTTTTTTTTTTTTTTTTTTTTTTAATTATTATTATTATTATTATTATTATTTTTAATTTAAGAAACATAAACAAGTTATCAGAAACAAAATCACAGACTCTAACGCCCTAAAGTTCGATTTTAGTTAATGTGATGTCTGCGATTGATCCATTGATGCTATTTTTGAATGTTTAGCTTAAACTGCTTTATTTGATTCTTAACTCAACACGTTCAGAAATATTCAAACTCTTTCTTTTTTTCCGTAGTAAATTATTGACTTGAGTCCAAGAAGGGCTATATGTCAACGTTTGGATAGTTCGCTTTTTAAAAGACCAAAAGTGCAAAAATCCGTCAATGATTATATCAGGAGATTTAGTAAGAATCTGAGTGAACGGTATGGGTTTGATACACGTTTCTTGTTCCATTTTTTCCAGCAAACTGACAGTGGACATGCGGCTGCTTGCTTTGTCTTCATGCAGCTCTACTGATTAATGGCAAAGTGAGTAAAGAAAAGGCATTTCATATTTGAAAATTTGAAAATGTATTTTTGATAATATATGGAGTTGACCTTATCAGTTTTCTGCTCTCTCTCTCTATCTCTTTAATTTTTATTTATCGTTATTTCAAAAACTAGCAACAATCATAAATCTCTTCGAAAACTTTTCTTTGGATTCTTTGAACCATGTTCTAAGATTTTTTTTCTTCTCTTTGATGATAATAAATGGATCTCTTTTTATTGCGGTCATTTAAATATACCCAAAATTCATCTATTGTGGCAACATTTTTCTATTTTTGTTCGAATAATTGTTAGTCGTGCAGTTCTTCATAAGTTCTCATAGTTCTACAGCGCGTTCTGCTTTCGGCGAAATTTCGTGGAGAAAGATGATGCAAATTACATTTTTTCGCCCTTTTAAGATTCAAATCAGCATTAATCACGTTGCTTGAAGTTGACACTGAGCATTTTAGTGATTATACAAATGTCCTTTAACTTCGCAGATTGGCTTTTAACATTAAAGTTCTTACCATTGCAACATTCGAAACATTCCGTTCTTTCCTTGGATATGTAATTTGAACAATTTTCTCCTTGAAACTAAACTTTGACGTTTTTCCCCGTTCTTATTGACAATATTACCTATCGTTGCTTTAGATACCGAAACATCATGATGTGGTGTAGTGGCCGAAACCGCTACGCAAACCCTGGGTTGTGACACAGGGTTGAAATTAACTTCTAACTCAAGTTTTAACAATAGCATGAATTTTAATAAGATGAAAAGACAGTTGCATATCTTGACTGTATGACTTGAGTATATTTAGTCCCGCAATTTCAGAATTTTCTTACAGAAAAAATGCTCTAACACATTATACACGAGGAATGATTGTTCTTAGCAGGCCAACATGCCCATGGCTCTAAACAGGAAACCACCCTATATATCTCCTTGTGTTTACTTGCGCTGTACTCCCAGGGGAAGGGGGGATTCTTTCACTCATACCTAATAAAGTGTCCATCTCTTGACCCTGATGAAAAGACTTTTTATCTCTTAGTCCACTGGAGTGACCTTCGACACTGCATTCGGAATCATTAACAAAGGCACAGAATTTCACCACTGATATGAAAACTATTGCACTCTGAAATCACTCATTCTAGACTAGGAACCTTTATGCCATTTTATCACAATGACTTTCGCAACATTTTTTAATAACTAGATGCAAATAATTTTCTTCGGAAAGAGCAAAACCATCCCCCCTCCATTACTTCTTTAAAGGCCTCATTTTGCATGAAAACAAAATTACCAAGTAGCAGATGATAATTTACAGTTTCAAAAATATAGTTGCTGTTAAAAACTTTTGCCAAGGAGGCGAATTTTTTTTTTAATAGCAAACCAAAATCGTCAAAAAATTTGCGAACAGCCTCTGTAGTTAAAATGTTGTTATAAGTAAAATAAATCACTTTATTGTGAAATGAAACGTATAGTAAGCTCTATATCATTCAAATTTTGTAAAAAGTAAATTCTTACTTGAAAAACATTGTCAATTTGTTGTATATTTGTTAAGTAACATTCTCTTTTCAGCGGGATGTTCGATTATTCTTCATAGGCCATCCTCTTCTTGACCTCACAACCCCTGGTAATCCAGAACTCTTGCAGAAATATGGTTTAGAAGCGGATGGTAGTGCTCGACCTGTAGCAGAGCATGAGCCTCTCTTTCACTACCTTTTCAAACATCCAGACACTCAACTATTGCCTGGCGGTTCAGCTCAGAACAGTGCTAGAATAGCCAATTGGGTTTTGGGAGATAGAGGCAAAGTATCATTTGCAGGTAAATGTTTGCCCACTACGGAATTTTATTCTCATCAACAAATAAGCAATACACAGATGCGAGTAAAATGTCTAAGGGAAGCCATTTTTTACTGTAGTTCCAATTCTATGTATTATGTTCACCGTGGACTTTTCGTTGAGTCTGAAATCCAGAGCTCGTTTTCGAGGAACCTTCAAATTATGTACAAACTCACAAGTACACAAACTTGTGTCAAGTAACATAGAAGAAAATAAAACTGCTGTTATTAATAGCATCTTAAATCTGTTACAATAGTTCTTACATGAAATATACTTTTAAGATCGTATTTAATACTTTGTTTTATTTTATTTAGTGTTAATTACATTAAGATCGTATTATTTATCCAAAATATTTATATTAGGACAATATTAAGGCCTATAATTAAGACTAAATTTAAGACTACATTTTTCTACTGAATTTTATGTATTAAATACGAATTAATTAGAAACGCATTAACTTGATCAGAATGTGCCAAGTAACATTGCAGCAAGGCATTCAGTGCTGATGATCACAGCAGCCTTTTGTGTTCCAAGACAGTGAATAGATATGTTAGCTGGTGGCCATTTGGGGACGGACTGGTGCCTTTTCCTTTTCTACCTCATGCAATCTATAAAATTGTACCCGCAGCGAAAAACTATTTCCTTTCGTTCAATCTCTCGTTGCCAGATTGCGTACATAGCCTTACAGCAGAGATACACGTTGCACGATAGTTCTCGAATGCTTGTGACTCCCATAAATAACAAACAGCAGTCTTCCTTCCATTTACCATCACAAGGTAAATTGTGTTTTCTAAACCTAGTATTCGCCATTCAAAATATTGAAATTTGTACTACCATAGCAATTAAAAATAGCAGTTCTCCTTTCGCTCCCTTTTCCATGGCAAATTGTATCTTCTAAACTGAAGTCTTGCATTTTATACAGCTGTGTTCAAGACCATCACAACTGCAAATGGCAGAGTTCCTTACATTGCCTTTCTTGGGTAACTTGTGTTCGTTCTAGCACTTTCAACCTTTTGAAAAAATCATTTTTTTTTAATTATGAAGCCTTTTACAAATATTATCTATTACTAGCATTAGAATAACTTATACTATACTAGTCAAATCGTTGGAGCTAAACTACTTCTACGAAGAACGAAACTTGTTTATAATACTCAGTTATCAACTGTGAAAATTTAAGAATTATTTAACTGTTCGTGTGTTTATGAATATCAAAATATTTTAGACAGTATTATAAATTTCAAATATGTGTGTTTGTTCAATAATTAGCATTTTGACTTTCTCTTCAACAATTTCAGTAATACCAATTAAGACGTAATATTCTCAAGGTTTGAAAATTTACTTCGAAGATAATATTCAGGAGTAATTAGTTTTTGCTTGCAAAGCTATTGGCAACAAATGAAAACTAGGCATTATTTATGGCAATTTACTTTTTCATTTTTGAAAAACCATATTTTGCTTTATTTATTTATAAGGAAATTTGAATCAAGCCTTTGATAATGCTGATAATCAAATTTTAAAGTTTTCAAATGCAGATTACAAAGCCTAATCTTACTTCCTCCTAAAATAACAAATCGAAACTAATTTGAATAAGGAACGTGTTTCTGAATGATATGTTTGTTCTAAGGAGGGTGGGAAGCAAGCACAGCGATTTCATCATATTTTGCAATTTACGCAGAAGAGCTATTAATTTCGTTTTAGCATTTTGCATTGGTTCACTATGAACGGCGTTTCACTTTTCAAATTATTGCTGCCAAATAAGAGAGCCCTGTTTCATATTTAAAGAAATTAAATAATGAAGAATCTGCACACACACACACATATATATATATATATATATATATCGCACTGTGAATAAACAACGATACCTGGAGATATCAAATTTTGAATAACGTAGTCATCCACTCGATTATGGGCATCTCGAAGCCCAAATTTGGCATTTATTTTATTATCTATTTCACATCTTGTAAAACTTTAACGAATTTTTAATTAACAAACTCAACGACTTCAAAGCGAGCAGTGGCAACATTGTATGAAAAAAAAAAAGTATTTTTATCTCCAGTGCGTGAGACTGCGTGTCGGAAATTCTAAAGATATGCTGTTTTTAAATTATTTTGTGATATTGCTGTTGAACTGAATTTTATGGTTTAAGTGCGAAGAACATCATATTTAATAAATAAAGGTACGTAATATAAAATCTAAAAGCTTTCAGTTTTTTTTTTTTTTTTTTTTTTTTTTTTTAATTCTTAGCTTGCAGAGACTATTAATATTTTCAGGAGACCGAAGACATAAAAATTCACAGTTACATCCCCCCCGGGATTTTGGACCAGGGAACTTCCAATGCTAGCTGAAACTTCTCCACTTACATCATAAGAGCACGCGAATTGGAGCGTTATTTAGAATTGGAGCATGTGATAATTCCTTACGTTCTCTTCCACTTTTCAAACATGGAATGGGAAGGGGCACGAAACCTAGTCAAATAAAACCAGATAGTCTATCTTAGACTGCATTTTAGTTTAAGCGACAGCGCAGAGTTGCGAATACATATAAAAATTAACTGTGCTTTCTTTGGGTTTAGAGCCTTGGTTTTTGTAGTGATAGTTGAACATGCTAACATATATAATTCACAAGCCCGAATGTATGGGCAAATAAGGCAACTTCTTACAAGCTGTAGTTTCCAGATAGCTTTCTGGTTATGATTTTTGGTTTGATGGTATTTTTTGATTAGGCAAACACACATGTACTGTACTTTTCCACTATGTGCGCCCATCCCAAAATGCATAGTAGATGCATAACGGAAAGGTACCAAAATTTTAAACATAAAATTTTGTCTGTTACCTTAATTATGAATCTTGATCAAATTAATTTGACAATTTTTTTAAACTAACTCAATAAGAAGAATTTAAGCATTCCAAGTCCATATGTTATTTAGAATTGGCGCTTTTTATCTGTCTGTAAATCTTAGCCAGCAATAAATTTTCTTTAAACATAAAACATATAATTAAGATACAATAACACACCGAACAAGTATTAATTTAGAAGTCAAACAACAAAATGCTACTGCTGTTAACAAAATGAGCGTTATATTTTCAAATTTTCACGGGACTAGTTTCGATGGTTTCACCGAACCATCATCCTCAGCTGCAAAAGCGCCAATGAACGAAATAAGATATAGTGATTAGATAAGGTAAGATAAGAAAGATTGCACAGGAGTTAAGCTACTGGCGCCATTTGTTGATGAAACGAGAACTAAAACATAATTTCCTTGAAGGCTGAAGGCAAAGATGAATTGGAATTAGGGTTATTAATTAGACCAGAAAGATTTTTTTTGGATGTGAAAGGCCTCTAAAAAATCTAATTCACCAATGGAAGATGTTTTTTGAATAATTTTGGCTGCAGAAAAATTTAAAGTGCGATTTTCGGGCCAACAATGCTGGGTAAAAGAAAACTTCTGCATTTTCTTTTTTCTAGCATATGCGACATGTTCCTTAACGCGAAATTTTAATGCTCTCTTAGTTTGACCAATGTAAATTAATCTTATCTCGTTCATTTGCGCTTTTGCAGCTGAGGATGATGGTTCGGTAAAACCATCGAAACTAGTCCTGTGAAAATTTGAAAATATAACTCTGACTTTTGTTGTTTGCCTTCTAAATTAATAAGACATATATGCTTAAAGTTATTTACCTTCTATTCCTGCTGTTGTTCAACTAATGGCCAAACAGTTAAGACAGCTGAATACTGATAATTTGATTTCGATTCGAACCCACGAGAAAGGACTGGCTGCACGTGGTTTTCCCCGTGTGTAATGTGAATAAAAGCCAATTTATCTTAGAAAGGCCTCCAAAGACATTCCTCCCATTAGGCAGATAATTATACGGTGCTTTTCCATATTCAAATAAGCTAATATAAACCATTCCTAATGTTAAGTTTATTATTGTAAGAAAAACAAGCCTGACTTAATATTTGTTAAATAATGATTAATTAATGGCAATTGTAAATTAATAATACTAAACTGCCCAAAATTAAAATTTGTTACCTATTTGCTGAAAATCCATATACCTAAGAATTTTGCTTATTATAATTATGTTTCTTACTCTAGGGCATAAAAATGTATATCAAAATAATTGCTGAAACTCTTTCGTCATTACAGGTTGCGTTGGTGATGATGAATTCGGATCATGGATGGCAGAGCATCTGCGGTCGGAGGGGGTGAAACCTTTATATGCCATCGACTCTTCTAAGCAAACAGGAGTTTGTGCATGCCTCCTAACTCCTGGCAATCATAGATCCTTAGTTGCCAGGCTCTCGGCATCTGCTAGTTTCAGCAGAAGTCATCTATTCTCTGAAGACATACTGGCAGAAGTGAAAAGTGCAAACTGCATTTTCGTAGCGGGTTATTTCCTGGCGCACTGTATTGATGCCGTATTTGCATTGATTGAACTTTGCCAAAACGAGGAGGTAATTTTGTTGCCACTATAATAGCATCTTTTCAAAACAATATATAAAACTGGTGCACTGTGAACTCGAAATATTATAAAATAAAACCTAAGAGAGTGAAATATCGGTACTTTCCCACAATAAAGTTGGTATTGTCTTTGACGACATTTGAAATTTGCTTGTTTCAGTTTGGACAATTAAGTTCGCCAATTTGGCGACCACGCATGGTAGCCGCTTTAACAAGAAAGTACTGAAATATTTTAAAGCCACAATTCTCAATAAATACCTAATTTAACTCAGATGGATAATTTCGCTTTTCTAGTAATAAAACTTCTGTATTTATAATAATTTAGATTCGGCTAAATTTATGTCTTTCTTGCAGCCGTCATATTCTCTTCTACCTAAATAATTTCACATTTAATTATTAATTGCAGAATTTTCGTCGATTTTGCAGCATTGTTAAATTTTGAACTTCAATGAAAATAAAATGGCGAAAGATTCAGGAATCGGATTACAACATTTTTACAATTTAATTTCGTATGTCTATCATTCATATCTATCCTGATTCTTAAATAATTTAGTTAGAATCCAAACACAAACGTTTGCCTATTTATCTATAAACAAATTACTGCTCATACCAAACGTTGTTAAAATAGAATTAAATCTAATTTAGTCTCATAATTTAGATTCCGAAGTAAAGTTGACGTTAACTCGGAAATAATTGCATTTCTGACCGCCGATCGCAAATGGTGAACTTCCACGCCTTTAGAAGAAATAAGTTTGAAAAAGATTTAATATATTTTTTATAAAAATAAACATTTAGTGGCGTAGGGGATGAAAATAAATATCCGTATAATTAGAAGAAAGATGCATTTAAGACTGTTTGATACAATTCTTCGAGCTTGGCGTACCGTTCTTAAAAATACTTAAACAAAATGGCGCGCTACGCGCGGCCAGTATTTCGTAATTACAACTAGCGTTAAAAAAATTGAGAAAGTACAAATGGCATGTTCACGGTATAAAAGGTAAGCGTTAATAGAACGAAGATTATGCTATTGTCGTTAAATTAAGAGTAGTGACATTAGTTAATTTCTCAACGCAGTATCGCTTTGTTGCTACATGCTTAGTTATAGATACATTTCAACTAAAAAAGCTTCGATTAATCGTAATTGGATAAGTAATTTTACTTCTGTTTTGCTAATATCTAAACGCATGTGCCGTTATTGTTATGTAAGAATTACATGATAGGAAATAATTTTGAAACACCACACTTCTTAAAAATTCCTTATGGGTATATTTCTATTTTTAAAATATAAAGGAAAAGCAACCTAATTAGAAAAGAGAGCTTAGAATCTATTCCGAATTAAAATTATAATTTTATCTTAAAGTTATAATATAAAAGTATAAAAGAATTTAAACAACGCATAATATTATTTCCCCCCCCCCTTTTTTTTCATAAAAAATAAAATTGTGCTATCATTCCGCGTCTAATTTGTTATCATTATGTTTCTTACTGTAAAATACATCAATGGCAGGAATCATGTAGTAATTATATGATTTTGCATTTCAGTTAAAAATTCATGTTAAATTCTTGTACTTCTTCAGCAACTGTTCTGTTTGAGCTTGTCGGCCGAATACGTATGTCGTGAACACACCGAGGTCATACTTAAAGTGATGCCGAGGGTTGACGTACTTTTCGGTAACGCTGAGGAGGTGAAGGCTTTGGCCAGGGCCATGCACGAGGACAAGGAAATCACAGGTCAGTGACATTGCCTTGAATTCTGTAAGACAACTGCAATGCGGTATCTGAAGAGTTCAATATTTTCCTTACTTCCTTCTGTGTAATCTTCATGGTCTTTCGATTGCAATAGACGATTTACTGATTTTTCATAGTCAGTGGAGTTAAATCATATGCAACTAAAGCCTTGAAATTTCAACGACGAAATCGCCATGATGAATGTCGTAAAGCTATTAAACGTTCGATGGCATATTCTTTTCTGGAAATCTTACGAAATTACTGCAGAAATAAAAGCATATCCGCTTTAAATGGTTCACTAGTTGATGCATCAGACATAACTGGAAAGAAATCAAGCATATTTCAAATAGCTTTTATAATCAGTGTCGTAATCAAAATATCTTTAGTTCTACACAAAGTAATATCGAAAAATAATTTCCCGCTCATTTTAACAGTCCTTATTTTCGGGTAATTTTTTGAAGTTTAAAATATGATGTTTCAGGCGTATAATTAAAACGTTCTTTTTAGCAAAACGGTTTTAATGAATGAAAACAATTGCTATTCTTATTTCAGAACATTTCAAACTTAAGAATTTTACAAAGAAGAGTCAGTAATCATGAAACGTCGATCCAATGTCTTTTATTCCTGTCTGTTATCTAGGTTCCGGAGAAAACTAGGAACCTATTTATTCCAAGCCTTGTGAATATTTACATATATAGAAGCATTTCTCCAACAGTTTTTATAACAATCTTTTTTAAATATGTTCTTTTTGATGACGTCGGAAAATCACCTTCATGTTTGAAAATCATTAATTGTACATTTGAATACAAATTTTATATATATTAGATTTTCCAACTAAAAGAATGAAGAATTTTTAGTTGGAAAGAACTCGTTCTTTTAGAAAGAAGAAAACAAATTAATGCGGATGTTTTGGGAAGAGGGATAATTTTCCTTGATAATTTATAAGATATTATCTCCATCCTTTCTGCTTGCCTTCATGGTGTAAAAGTAGCACACTCGGTGCGTATTCTACAAGTACAGATTCGAGTCCAGGTGAGGGCATTGCGCATTTTTAACGGCACCTGCTTCAACAAACCCTAATGACTCTCCAGTGGCATCCGAACTAAAAGGTGCAGGGTGATGATTCTTCAACACCAGAATTTGGCGACTGAGACCCGTTACCCCCAGTCGCTCTTTAAAAAGGGGAGTATATAAGGTACAGAAAGAGGCGCAGCCCCCCATCCACCTAATCGATTTGATTTTATGACTTTTCCAGGAGGGCGATAAGTTAAAAACCACATAATAAAATACGCCCATTAGAATATAACCTAATGGACCTTAACGGCACAATAATAATTAAAATAAATAGAATGGTAGAAACTAACTAAACAAAAGGACAAAACACAATACACAGACCATGCTCTATCATAAAAAACACTAAACACATGTTAAATCAAAATTCCGACATTAACACGATTATTATTAATAAAATTCATTAATTCCCTAGCAAATTCAAATTCAGTGTTTTTTCCAGTAAATGTATTAATTAATATGTCCAAACTTTTGTCTTATATCATAAGTTAAATCACATTCATTTACAAAATGTTTAACTGAACCCGTAACTCCACAATTATAACATAACTCATTTTCTTGTAGGGGCCCACCAGCGGCCGAGCGGTAAAGTCGCTGAACACTGGTAGTTCGGTCCGAGGTTCGAATCCCGCGAACGGGCTGGCTGCATGGGTGTTTTCGTGGTTTTCCCCATGTGTAACGTGTATACGAGCCAGTTTCCCTTAGAAAGTCCTCCACGAAAGGCATCCCTCCTCTTAGGCAGATAGCCCTAGTGTGCTTTGCCATAATTAAATACACCACACCACCACCATTTTCTTGTAGACCGAATCTCTTTGATGCTTGCAGCCATGGTGCATTGTGTTGTTTGAGTGGAGAAATAAAATGCTTATATCTTGGTAAATATTTGAATTAAGTGAGTTAAAGTGCATTTTTCTGACTTGTTTTGTGTTCCGATCTGTGTTTTATAACTTTATTTCGAACTAGAAGTCGTATTTTTGAAGATTCACGGACTTTGAATTCTGCGAGTGCTAGCCGGATCATTAGCATACGATGAATAGATTTTTGCTTATTATTTCATGGATTTACTGCGCAAATGACTTCTGATTTATGTTTTAGACTCTTTATTACTTACTGTAAGTCCATGGTTAAAAGCATAGCGATTGATTGAATATTTAATTTAATATTTGCACTTAAACTTTTTGAGTGACGTTAGGCTTAATTTGGCCGCTATTTGTTTACCTTTGAAGGCTTCGTGTTTTGCACTTCCTAAGACTTTTGGCCAATTGATAAAAACTTGATTTGAGTTTATGAATATTACCAGGAATAACTGATCGATCTTTTGGTGCATTATTGAATGTAATTTTTGGCCCGTTGGTCGATTTATTTATTTTGCGCAGAACATTTATATTTTAAAATTTAATGTTTTTTCTGCCGTTTTGTGAATTTTAAAAGGGGAGTATATAAGGTATTTTCTCCCTTCTTTCTGCATGCCTTCGTAGAGTAACGGTAGCACACTCCGCGCGTATTCGAGAGGTCCAGATTCGAGTTGCGGCGAAAGCAGTGCACATTTTTCAAGTCTTCCTGCTTCAAAAATACTTATTGTCTCTACAAAGTCAACCCTCTTCCTGGAAACCAACAATAATTTACTTACTTTTATATGTATACTGTTCTACCTAATTTTTATTTATGTACTATTTTTTTTCTTTTTCTTTTCAAAAATGTATGGTCTTTGACGCATGCCATTACAAAGTTTAAACTTCTTACAAGTTTTTAACAGTTTTAACACAGTCCTCTGAAGCATTATCATTTTGTAATATCAGTTTTGCGTTAGTTTTACATTTCCTTTTTTGGAGATAATCATAAATATAAAGTTAATAATTAAATTTGTATACATGAAAGATAAAAATATGTAAATTAGCTTTATAATTTAATTTAGTGACAGCCTTTTAATTACTTATTTTTAATTTGGTTATGTCCTTTTTGTATTCTAAAAATCTTAGCAATTTTCCTGGACTGTGCCATTTCTACGTTAATTAATGCCACATGGCTTGCGTAATGCTGACGACGTAGCTAATTCAGAACTTGAACTCAAAACTTTGAGAACTGAAACATTTCTTACTTCAACCAAAACCTTCTTTTTTTTTTTTTTTTTTTTTTTTTTTTTTTTTTTTTCCGGGAAAAGTTTTCGAGAAATAAGTACGATTAGAGTGCCAAATGAATTGTCAAATGTCAAGTTAAATAAAAATAGACTTTAAACCGGCTCGGCTGCGAAGTTTCTTACTCATGAGTTCAACATTTTAGCATTGTACGCAATCAGAAGTCTTATTCTTCAATGCGGATCTACGTTCTATGCTATCTGCCATGAGTATTTCTGCGTTTCTATCTGTTAAGTGTTCCTACATCAGTACTCCTAAATTTGTTATTGTTACATATATATGTATGCATATATAGAGATAGATAGATAATTAAAAATTAAAGTAAAATTTAAAGCAAATTCAAATATAGAAAAGTAGAACCGAACGTAATTAGACAAAACAGATTAAACAAGTACTGTAGAAAATTAATAAGCGGAAAATCTTCAAAAATGAAATAACTCTACGATAAATTTAAATTAGGAATACAACTAAATCCTAGAACAATTGCAAAAAAAAACCAGCCAAACTAAAGCTAAACAAAAATAAAATTTAATCAAAATATCATGTAAAAAGTTATGAAAAATGGGAATAAAGAAATCATTTTTCAAACATCAAAATAACCTCCACTCTGTAAAACGGAGGTATTAAATTTCCTAAAAGATTCTTTGATATCAAAATATAAAATCACTAATCTAACATCCAAAATATTGAAATGTGAAAAAGATTATATTAAACCAAAATGTAAAAGTCTAAAAATACTTTTAAATAGCACAAAAGTGATTAAAATTGTTCCCTGGAGTGATAAAAACAAATCCAACTGAAAAGTAAACATTCCATGTGAATTCAAAGAAAAGGTATATCAGTGAAAAATGAATATTATATATTATACAATATAACATTATTTTATATATATCCATAGAATATAAGCATTAACGGGAACGGAAAAAGGCATTTGGCTGTTAATTTTTTCCATCAGTGTGACTGAAGTTGTATCACAAATTTATGTATATTGTTCTTCATGGTATGTATCACAAATTTATAACCTCATTTTGCAATGTAGTAAGAGTCCTGAAAAGCAGATGAGAAAATTAATTAAGTTTGGAGAACCAATTCTTTTTGTAATAAACTAATTTTGATTATTAGATTTATAAACTCCTGAACGAAGCAGAAGAATGTAGACTAGAAGGTCAAAGCTAAAAATCGTAAAATCATGCATAGGATTTAATAAAGAGAGAAATTTGCAAAGCAGGAAACGAATAATACTATTTTCTAGAATAAAAATCAAAAATGCAGTAAACAAAAAATTAAATTTATATTTAACAAAAATTTATAGGCTGGATTTCAAAGCTATTTCTCTTTATTATTAGTTTGTTAAAAGAAGAACGACAGCTGTAAAATCTTAAGTAAATATACAAAAAATATCAATATTTTAAATTATAACATTAAATAGTGTTTACCATTAATTTTAAATTAATTAAATTAAGAAAAAATTTATTAGTTACTTTGAGGAGAAAAATTTAACCTTAATCATATAGATACGTGATTGAGCAAGCTTTTGAATTACAAATTATCTCATGTTGAAATTGTGTATAGTGAAAGAAGTGTAACTTCCCTTCATCATAAGAAGGAAATTATTAAGTATTGCTTACGGAAATTAAAACTAATAGGAATTAAGATGAGAAATTTCAGTTCCTACTCTAAAATGATTATTAATACATCTCAAAAGGAGCAAGAATTATGCCAAATTTACTTTGACACTTAAATACCGACTGGACTGATGGTAGTACTGTAGAGACATTAGGTATATTTTTGGAAGCAGGCAAGATGAAAAATTAGCAACGCCTTAGCCTAAAATTGAACCGCGGACCTCTGGAATGCGCGCCAAGCGTGCAGACCACCCTACCACGAAGACATGCTAAGAAATACCTTATATAATCCCCTTTTAAGGAGCGACTGGGGTTTTTAGGGGACCCAATCGCCAAATCATGAGTGTGGAGAATTATCATCCAACACCCTTTTAGTTCGGGCGCCACTATAGAGACAATAGGTATATTTTTGGATGCAGACAAGATGAAAAATTAGCAACCGCCTTCGCCGGGAATCGAACCGCGGACCTCTGGAATACGCGTCAAGCTGCAGACCACGAAGGCCTTCTAGGAAGGCGGGAGAAGTACCTTATAGTATAACAAATCAAAGCTTTAACAATTGGTGGACTAGCAAAATGTTTTCTTATGAAAGCTATAGTTCTTGGAAAAAACTTATTTATCTTCAAGGGGCTGAGGCCCACCAGCTGACGAGTAGTTAAGAATACTATGAATTCGACCTAGGCTTCATCCCAGACTAACGTGCGGGCTGTGTAATTGTTTTCGTGGTTTTCCCCATGTGTAACGTCGATGCAAGTTAGTTTTCCTCAGGGAGTCCTCCTCGAAGGCATCCTTTCTCTTAGGCTGATAGCTCTAGTGTGCCTTGCCTTATTCAAATAACCTAACGTAAACTTTTCAAATTGTTAGGTTCAGTAATTAAGTAATGACACACGATGTGTCAGCCTCAAGTGAGTGGAAATTCGTAAAGGATTTAGTAAAGAAAACTGACTAATATTCAAGTTACACATGGAAAAAAGCCCATCAAAATACCACGCAACCAACCCATTCGCCGTAATTTTTAATCAGGATCGAACCACAAGTATTCAACTCTCTTATTCTCTTGGACTTTGGTAGCCCTTCTTCATCTTTTGTTAGTTTGACTAATGGTGTGGATATTATATATATTGCTAAAAGCACGCATATTCTTACAATTCAAGAAATAAATTATTCTCGTTCTGAGGAGTTCTGAGGGGTTCATTTTGTTTATTATTATGATAATGCAGTATCTCGTGTGACACAGTTCTTAATTAAGTTCCATTTCCCTGGGCTTTTTAAATTTTGGATATTTTAAGCTCCACTTCCGCATTTGTACTTGCTTTTAATAGGACTATTTTTGTAAATTCTTTTTTGCAATACATTTTTTTCTATTCAAACGCAAGTATCTTGTGATTCTCATTCGTATTAAAGACGTCTCCGCAATAGCCTACAGAAAGAACCACAAATTCCGTATAAAATAAAGCAGTATAAGCCACAAAGTACTATAAAAATAAATTATATAAGACTTTTTCCTTTATGTAATCACTTTAAAAATACAGAGAAGAGTAATTCCTAGTTCCAGTAGTTTCCGGATGTTTCCGATTATGATCTGTATAATCATAACGGAAAGAAACGTCCTTCCGATAGAAATTTCCGACGAATTCCATGCTTTGTGACAAAATTCAGCCTTGTGACGCAGCTCTATTTCGTTTTCTAACATATCGGATTTATGCAGCTGAAGAAGTTGCAAAATCTAAGAGTCGCGAGTTCCAATCATGAATGAATGTATAAAAATTAATAAATATACTGCGAGTCTGATGGACCCATTCATAAATTTCCCCTGACAAGCGAAATAAAAGTATCTAATTCTCTCTCTTAAAACAAAAAAATTATTACTGCACCAGTGTCGCAGAAATCATTAACCGGGCACGCAATTTTCATACCTTCGTTTGAGCTATGTTCCTAAGAATGCAAAATGCATTATGCACACTTAATAAGCCGACCATACGACACATATCTCCAAATCTAAAGATTCGAACTAGGATATAAAATATATCCCATTTTTGCCACGTTCATTTTACTGTTATTATTATTAGTAGTAGTAATAGTAGTAATTATTATTATTAGTATTACGTTTATTATTATTATTATTTATTTATTATTATTCTTTATCAAAGGGCATTAGCCTAGAAGGGCTATTAATTCGTTTTGGCATTTTGCATTGGTTCACTATAAATGTCGGTTCATTTTTCAAATTGTTGTCACCAAATATTAGAGCCCTGTATTATATTTAAAGAAATTAAATAATGAAGAGTCTGCATAAATGTATATACATTTCTCTTATTGTGATAAAACAGCGGTGCCTACAGTCGTCCAATTTTGAATGACGTAATCTTCCACTGAATGTGGGCATCTGGAAGCCCAAATTTGGAACTTGAAATTTGTTTCATTATCGATTGATTTCATATTTTGTAACACTTTAACGAAGCTTTGATTAACAAACTCAACGATTTCAAAGCGAGCAACGGCAACACTGTACGAAAAAAAAAAATTATATCCAGTGCGCCAGACTGTGTATCCCAGATTCTAAAGATATGCTTATTTTAAAATTATTTTGCGATATTGCTATTGAATTGAATGTTATGTTTTAGGTGCCAAGAACATGCTATTTAATAAATAAAGGTACCACACGAAAAGCTAAAAAAAACGCCCCTTTATGAGTAATGTAAAATCTGAAAAGCTTTCAGACTTTTTTTAATTATTATTATTATTCATTTATTTATTTATTTTTTCAGTACGAAAGGTAAAAAAGTAACAAACATGTAATCTATATTTTTTACTAAGCCGCGCCAATAGTTTAGGGTTAGAGGAGCCGACAGCGACACCGAAAGACCCTGACCTTTTTTTATATTTATACATTGATCTATTTATTTATTTTACTTTATATAGAATACGAAGAAGCAATATAAAAGAAAATAGTTGCTTCTGATCATAAGAAAATATTCTCTAAATCTCAAGTAAGGTCGTATTTATTCACACTAAATTTTTCTCTTCTGTAGAAATCCGAACTCATCACCACTTAAATATTAGCCCTGCTAACAATAATCGATTAAATCTTCTGGTTTAAAAATCGATTATTGTTATCAGCAGCAGGATAGCTAACTTCGGAGTGCTATCGAACTATCTAGAAAAAAAAATTAGAATATTAGTATTCACCGGCTTTAGTCGTTAATCCACTTGTGGGTTTTAACTAAACAGAATCTTCGAAACAGTGTCGGCATTTTTATTATTGATATCGTACTTAGGCCAGTATACGTGCAACTTTTAAATTAAGATGAGAGTGGAGAAGCATCTGTAGGCTGGCTACCTTTGGCCAAAAGCAACTAACATTAGCTTCTCTGACAGCTTTCTAGGATGAAGGTGTTAATCTAGCCATCGCAGTATTCATTTAAAAACAAAATTTGACGCAAATGTAATGCTAAAGTATATTTGCTTCAAATTTCATTAAGAAAGTTTTCTAAAACTGCAGAAGTATTTACCTTTTCTTTTCGGGAAGCATGCAGTATGAAAAAGGATGATATAGCCCTTCTGCGCAAAATTGATTCGTGAAGCCAACGTATAATACATTATGTTTTCCTTGGTTGCTTGCGGATTTTAATCATTTTCCATCAACTTGCTAAAATATATTACTTTCCCAATTTCGAGGTTATCCTAACACTGCTCATTGCTATTATGGTTAATTGTAAAAATCCTGGTAATATTCTTTTCAACTCTCAACAAGCTAATTTCGGTTACCAATAATTCAATGGTATGGCTACGTGAGATTTTCCCGATTTTTCCTATTTTCGCTTACCTTAACTTTTCTTTTCTTAAAAAAAAATCTTTTTCTTTCTTAAACATCTCTTCTCGAAAGTGTATTTTCTTGTGTATCAGAATAAGGTATATCAGACAACTTTGTCCTAAATAATTACCTGATAGACTTTAATTACCTCGTGTTATCAAGAAATGTTCCTTTGTGTTAAAAATTGTTACTCTGAAAATTTAATTTAATGTAGCTTAGAATTAAAGAAGCATATTTAAAAAATGTACAGCTTGTGCCTTTATTTCAGGTAACAAACAATTTAAAATATTACATGCTTTGTTACTCTTACGATTAGTTTCATAAACTGTACCATTTCCAACTCCATCAAGTATGTCATTTAAGTACTTAAATACGTTAAAAGAACTCACTTTTAGGAGAAATTTATTTCAGATCTGGAAGATGCCATCCAAGATATAGCTGCTCTTCCCAGAGAACAATATCAACGCAAAAGGATCATTATTGTTAGCAGCGGAGCAAAACCAGTACTGGTATATGTGGGATCGGAATGTCTTTACAAGATCCAAGTACCAACTGTATCTGTTGTGGACAGTGTGGGGTGTGGTGATGCATTAGCTGGTGGATTCTTGGCTCATTACGTCGTCAGCGGAAATGTGGAATGGGCCACGAAGGCAGGCATCGAAGCAGCAACTAGAATAGCTCAAGTCAACGGATGCAATCCTCCGCAGGATTGTTGTCCTATTCGTGATTTTCCTATTAAGTGGTGAACACACTTTTTGTGTTGAGTAAATATTGCTGATTATTTTCTAACACAGTTTGACCACATTACTTGCCTGTTGTCACATTTTGTTATTGGATGTTATAAAAGAAAGAATATTATTAAAATAGTTAATGTAAAAATCTTCTTATTAAAACACAATTTTAAAGCGTCTTGAGAGTTATTTGAAAGTTCAGTGCCTAAACACCCGATTAAGTAAGTGCTACTCTTTTTAATCTGCTTGAAACTCCAAGTTTCCTCTGACTACTACTAAATGAACTTTAAATGTAAAATTAAACTCCACGTTAAACAATTCAATTTAAGAATAACGAAACTCTGATTCGCAGTTTAAAATACTTTTGTTACTTAAACAGAATTACTCTTAGTGCAGCAGCTTCTAGATACTTTATAAAGATTTAAATCATGCACAAGGACTTTTACGATGGAAGTTTTCTTAAAATATTAAATTACTTATTCAACTTAATAATCTTGCTAGAACTGAAATTTTGCGTTAAATTAACTCTTAACATCAAAGAATTCATCGGAAATGACTTAAGCATATTTTAAACAAGCAGCGGGAGTTCAGCAATCACAGGCGATAAGGGTTGTTAGTCCAAAGGGGCTTTGTCCCTGAAGGACTATTGTTTTCGTTTTGCGATTTTGCATTGAATCACTATAAATGCCCGTTTCACTTTCCAAACTGTTGCCACCAAATATTAGAGTCCTGTATTATATTTGAAGAAATTAAATAATGAAAAATCTGCATAAATGTATGTCTATTTCTCGCATTGTGATGAAACAACGCTAAATAGAGCCATCGAACTTTGAATGACGTAATCCTCCTACGAATATGGGCATGTGGAAGACCAAATTTCAAATTTGTAATTTGTCTTATTATCGATTTCATATTTTGTAAAACATTAACGTATTTTTGATTAACAAACTCAAGTATTTCAAAGAGACCAATGGCAACGTTGTACAGAAAAAAAAAACATTTTTATCTCCAGCGCGTGTGACTCTGTATCGGAAATTCTAAAGATATGCTCAATTTAAAACTATTTTGCGATATTGCTCTCGAACTGAAGTTTATGATTTAAGTGCGAAGAACGTGATATTTAATAAATATAGGTAACACACAAAACGTTAAAAAAAAACTCCCATTTGGACGTAATTTAAAATCTGAAACCTTTCAGATATTTTTATAATGATAATTTCATTTAAAAAACTTTCCCAACCTAGAAAATTATAATGTGATAAAATATTGAATAGTTTAAATTGTCTAATCTTAACCATATACAATCTGTATAGTCTTATCGTATATTGTTGCTGGCTTCGGCTTTCTGTAATTTAAAAATGAAGTAAAACTTTATATTATAATATCTTGTTTCTGATTTATATTTATTTACTTTTGTCTTTGCTGTCTTTGCTGTGTTGATATTCACCAAATGATAGCAAATTTAGCAATTTAGTTTTTCATTTCCGTTCGACAAGATTAATTCTGTGAGCAGAAAATTGAGCAAAATGGACATGGGCCAAACACAAAACATAATCAGTAGTGATAATCGAATTTTATTTTATCTTTATTTTTCAAAACTGGAAATATTTTAGACATGGCCTGATACGGAATACAGATTTCATGACAACACCAGCATTATTAGCTCAAAGGCATGGTAGCCCAGGAGGGCTACTAGTCTCAAAACGGTATTTAGTGGCGTTTCACTAAACGGCGAATTAGTTTTTAAATTGATGCTACTAAATATTGTAGTTATGTATTGTATTTAAATAAATTAAATAATGAAGAATATGCATGAATTCACGCATGTTTCTCGCATTGTGAAAAAAACGACGGCACCTAGAGCCATCCGATTTTGAATAACGTAATTCTCCACTCGAACATGGGCAGCTGAAAATCCAAGATTTTTAATTTGGAATTTGTTTTATCTGTTTTCTATTTTGTAAAATTTTAAAGAATTTTCGATTAACAAACTCAACGATTTCAAAGCGAGCAGTGACAACACTGCACGGGAATTTTTTTTTTTTTTCCCTCCAACGCGCGAAACTGTCTATCGTAAATTCTGAAGCTAAGCTGTTTTTAAATATTTTTAGTACACATGCTCTCGAATCGTGTATGTGTATGTAAACGAAAAACACGCCCCTTTGAAAGTAATATAAAATTTGAAAGCTATCAGATTTTTTTATTTTTTTAAATAACTACCATCTAATTAGCTTTTCAGTTGCTTGCTTATTTCTTAAGTTCCTTCTAAAGCGTTGGAAGCTTATTCTTGCGTACTTCATTCTGTTTTGAGCAGGGTTCAAATGAAAACATATGTGTAAAAAATAAAGTATTAAGCCTTAATAAAAGAACTGAGCAGTAGATAATAAAGTAAAATCTTAAACGTAATAATGTTATTAAGCATATCTGAAGAAAGAAAATCTACTTTTCACTAAATGCTAGCCAGGAAATCCAAGTTAAGAGGACTAGTTTTTTGTGCGATTTTAGAGTTATAAGACTCTATAAAAACTAACTGATCGTTCATTTCATAAAGATTTAGTTTAGTTATCAGGAAAATTTCACATGTAGGATGAATGTTTGAGAAACGTCAAAGAACAATAAAAATAACCAAGGAAACATTTGATCACCAGAGAAAAACAGTCAAATAAATGACCAAAAACAACGAGGATACACTTTTAATTCGCAAAAGGTCTTTTTTAAAGCACCTAAACATTATAAAATAATATGTTCTGTATTCTCCCAAATGATAACTACCTCCCCCTTTTGAAACAAGGTATTTAAAATATGCGCAGTCTAAGCTTTTTCTACAAATGTTCTCTCTCTTTCTTTTTTTTAGTTGTAAATCTTAGTTTATTATTTATTTATTGTTGCTACAGATATATTTAAGGACTTATCAACTGATTTCTGCGTCGACGTATTTTCTCATATTGCCAATAATTTAACTTTAAAAACATTAGAAACAGCACACTTTTTCGGATATTCGTTTGAGACTTCTTTCCATGTATAAGTAACGACTTACCGTTTTTCCGTTTCCGATTAAAAATGCTGCCTTTTTTGCGCATAAAAGTTTTATTACCCTGCATTTCAAAACACTTTTTAATTGCGGAATAGGAATATTTCTCAAGACGCAAGGCAAACACGCGACGTGGAAAAGAAACCGGCAAATCGACAACCTTGTATTCGGCGTAGATTTTGTAGTTATATTGGCCAAGCAAAAAGAGCATTAGAGTTTCGCGTAAAGGAACATGAATCTCAAGTTCGAAAAGGCGAAATTAACAAATTTTTAATAGCTAATCATAGTTGGAAACTCAATCACAATTTTGAGTTTGGTTCTGCTAATATTATCCAGAAAGCTGGTTCTATTAAGGAATTGGAGTTTCTTGAAGCTTTTCACATTCACAAAAATGTATCCTGTTTAGTCAATGACTTTAGTCAATGATAAAGTCTTGCCTAATGCCTTTAAAATTCTACTAACTTAACCCTTCATTTTTCGTTACTATTTCTGCCGAAAGATGGCGCTATCTGTTCTTTCACTAGTTGCCTGTAAGGTATAAATATGATTGACATTCACTTTCTCGGTTTTGCAGAAAATTTTGCTCCTGATGAAGGGAGACCCGTTTTGCCCTCGAAATCGATTAGGATTTTACAAAATCTATGCCGAATACAAGATTGTCGATTTGCCTGTTTTATTAGGAATATTTCTCATCGGAAAGCGCAAAAACATATCGTTCGATCCATAGCTTGTTTACATGCTATATTTTGGAAGAAGAAGGCATTTAAAAGTAGCAGACGATATTTCGCGTTTCAAATAATAAGGTGGAGCCAAAAACTTTTATTTAAAAACATTTGCATTTTTAAAAAATTTTATAGAAATCGTTCTAAAAATTTGTAAACAACTATAAAGTTTAAATTACTCTGGCATAAACTAATTCCAAACTCCTAACAGACTGGCAGCGATTTATCACTCCGTCTGAATAAGTTAATGATATAGACTTGAAAAAGTTTAAACAAATTCTTTATTAAATCAGAAGTTTGAACATAAATGCACGACTCGTGCTTGCAAATCAGCCAAAGACTTGTGGCGATGTAACTTAAGTAAATTCAAATTTCAAATTAAAACTAAGTCAAGGGCTACTCAAAGGCTTTAACGCGAAGTTGGCTCTCAAGTTCTTACCGACATAACAATTTAAATATCGGCAATTATAAAGCAAAGCAGAATAATACAATCTGATCTGAGCTAGCTAATATAGTAAGGCGACCTCGAGAAGCAGATTTTAACTCATTTGCATTCTCTATTTGGGAAACGGAAACGAGAAATGATAGTAAAGATCAGAAACATAAAATAACTATTCAGCGGGAAAATAATGCTAATAACCTACACACCCAGAGATAAAACTCAATACGGCTGTATAACAGGAAGGGCATCTAATAAATACTATTCAAAATTCATTGTTTTCAAAAAGTACTAGCAGCCTAACAGTTGATATTAAAATTACTTTCAAAAAATTATTCCATAATTTAGCATGAAGGAAATTATTATTCAATGGCTTGTCTTTTGATAATGCATAAAATCTCTAGGAAAATGTGTGAAATATTAATCGTTTCACACTTTGATGTCTTTCGCCGTTCTATACAATGCCTGCTTCAACATTGCCGGTAACATAGCAGTATCAGTCCCAATAACTTTTGCATTCCCTTGTATTAGCTACCAGATTACCAGATTATGCTTCACGTATTAGTCATGCATAATCGTCAAAATATTAAAAATATTTTTTTTAACTGATTGAGTGGCAACATTATGAAATTGCCCATGAAATGTACTATTTTGAATTTCCTGTTTCCTTACTTGATAAATATAATGATAAAAGAGATGACTTACATTCTTTCATAATATGAAAGCAAAACAAAAACATATTTAAAATCACGAACTTTTGGAATCTAAAGACCTCTACATATGCCTTTAGTGGGTGATTGTTGCTTTATATTTCCTTTAAAAGATGCTACCGTGATAACTGGATTTATCTGTGTGGTAAGAATTTTTAATGTATATACTTTTAAGTACGTAACGTTATTTATATAAATGTACACATAAGAAAAGTGATGCAGTTACTAGTACATATGAGAAGAGTAATTATAACAAATTACGCATATTGCCTCTGCAGATTTGTATAACTTTCAGTGATAAAGATATAAAATTAAGGCATTTGAGGTTTCATCAATAATACAATACAAGAGACTTCATGTGTTCAGTTACTGAATCTGAAATGCACAGATCATTCAGTATCAGAATTAGGACAGTCTTTAGTCCCCCTTCAAGAAATATATATATAAAACAAATAATAAGCAGAAATTATAAGCTGATAATAAGCAGAAACTTGGATAATTACTCAATTTTGGCACCTGCGTTTACTTTGGCAGAGATGGTATTTAATATATGATCTACATTTTGATTCCTGCTTATTATTCATCATTGAACCTGCTGTAATCTATCCTGATAATTCACAACAAACTAGGTATTTTCTGATTATTCGCACCCCCGATTTCGACGTAGGTAGAATTGCTGTCCTATGGCACATATTTTAGTGTATGTTATCGTGTAAATATTGGGCATATACTTTCTTCTCATGAAAGTTTTCATTTCTTATAATGTTTTCTTTTGTTATTATTTATGGATAAAGCAGTAGCTTGTAGAGACATTAGGTTAATTGGAAGCAGGAATGATGAAAAATGAGCAACGCCTTGGCCTAGAATCGAACCACGGACCTCTGGAATACGCGCCCAGCGTGCAGGCCACCACACTACGAAGGCATGCTAAGAAGGCGGGAGAAATACCGCCTTCTCAGCATTACCTGTAAAAGACAGGCAAGGAAATTTTCTTTACCAGTTTACATAGTTGCGAGTGAACTGGCTACTTTTCGGAGGAAAGGGAGGCGGATAATCAAAATGTACGAAAAATGTTTAAATTTCGTTATCTGCAAGTCAGTTAATGTTCCTTAAAATTATTCAAATAATCTATCAGTGTTACATAAACTGATATCAGGAAAACATTAAATATAATTAGTTTGATCACTTCTGGGTATTAGGATAAAAAACATTATTATGATCTTGAGATTAACGTATCCTAAAGATAACAAACAATTGATGCATTGATCAGCAAGTCTTTTTGTTGCTATGGACGATTTCAAAATCTCAGCTTCCGTTCGATAAATAGATACAAACCATACTATTAACTGAAAGGTACTAAGCACAGAAATACGTTAATCCCCTTCATGTGATAACTATTTTACGGCGAGAGATGCAAAGGATCGGGAGCTAAACCTCGAAACCTTTTAAAATTTTAATCCTGAAACCTTTCATGTGAGACGTTTACCGCACCTGGCGTTGGAAATCTCATGTATCAAGGCTTGTTACTTGTCAAACAAGGAAAAGAGTTTTGAAGGAGATTATGAAAATCATTTCTCTTCTTCTCAACATCAACAAGAATAAGGGTTCTGTTTGTTTGCAGATGAGAAATTTGAAAGGAATTGATTGCGGGGTTTTCGTGGTATTTTTACCTCAATTTTCGCCGGATAAATGTCCTGAATTCATAAACAGCACTTTTTCGAGAGATGATGCTTTTTCTGTACGTTTTTCATCTTTCCTCAATAAACGAATTTGGATCTGGAGATAGATTTCAGATTTACAAAATCGAACTGGCAGAATTTGTTAAAGTTTTAAATAAACCTAATTGTTTACACTATGTTGTCAAAGTTTAAAACTAAACAGAGAATAAAATAGACTATTTTCAAGATTAATGATAAGTTTTTCAAAATACTTTCAGTTTATTAATAAATTAACTTCCTAGTTTGGTTTATAAATTAATTATTAATTTAAAACTTCTATTTAAAAAATATGAAATGTTATACCAAAATGTAAAAGTAAGGAATAATAGAAAATTTCAATCTTACTCAAGATTAATGATTCAAAATGCATTTTACGTTCTTCTGCACGTTACGGAATATGAGAAAGAACTGAAAGTGATAATCCGCATCATTTAGAGCACAAAATATGCGAATAAAGACTTGCACCGAGACTCATTTTCTTTCACTGAAACATTGCTGAAGTTACTGCGGATTGAGGTATTCTTGAAATTGTCTCAAAGACATCTTTTAAATATGAATCGTAGAAGTATTGAATGACTGCTTCAGTTGGAAAATGCCAGTCGCTGTCAGGTACCTGCGAAATAAATGTTCGCGAAATGCCATCTCGATATTAAAGGCAGTTTTATTTTACAGTAGAAGTCCATCCATTGAGACGAGAAGAAGGGGATTTACTGTTTATTATAGACTGAAGAATCAAAGTTTTTGTGCAACGGAAATTTGGTTTCTGACACTGTAGCTTCCTTCCTCAAAGAGTCGTATTTAAGATGAATTCATCGGCATCTCTTGTGCAGCAATGGCGGCTGGATGATTTTCCGTTTGTTTTATTAATTCTTTACTGTTACAAAGGGCGTCACATAGCTACAAATCTTTTCAAGAGGGTCAATAACCGACTGAATGTGTAGTGATGAGTCTGTCTGTCGTTTTGGTGTTAATTTTCTTACAGGTGCTCTCGGACCAGAATTTTGAATAATAAATGTTAATTTTAGACTTAATAAATTTCATCTGACAAAACACTATCTGGAATTTGGAGGTACATCCGAATGGACTACCCAAAATATTTGTCGGATGTGAATTCGATCTGACATCACTGAACCGTTTAAGGAACCAAGCAGGTAATTAAAAACATTGCAGAAACTCGAATAGTTTCTCTTAAAGGAGTGGTATATAATTTAGAAAGAATTTATTGATAGCCTAAATAACCTCCATGGAAATACACTAACACTGTTGTATAACACAGAATGTGGATTCTTCATAAACCACAGTAGTACTATTTTGGGGGACTCAGTAATAAAATATTTTAATTTGTTCTTTCCTTTGCCCCGTAAATATTTTCTAATTCCTTTCAATTTGCATTAATGTCTTTTGAATAATATTTGCTTTTGTAAATCATTCTTTAGCTTTGCCCAACAATGTACCTCAAATCAGTTGTTTACAAAGATATTTCAGACCACTTAGAAATGATTTCTCAATTCCGTTTTCTAAACAATATACAATAAATACTTGAAAAAACAGAGTGATTTTGAATTACAGTAGTGGTTTAAATTAAAACCTTAACTGTTTATTTTGATGCAAATGACGAAATACAAAAACATTATACGTATATAATTCTTCAGCGTGATCGCTATGACGAGCAATGCAAGTATTCCTGCGCTTCGAAAGTGCATGGTTTACCTTCTCATAACTTTGAAAATATTTGCTTCTCAGTATCTCTTCCAGCCATCAGAACGCATGAAATTCACTCAGGGAGACGTTTAGTGAATAAGGAGCCTGTGTTAGATAATCATATTTCTTATCCTGGATCCTGAAACGAGCAGTATTGAGTTTAGCCTTGTCATGCAGTAACCAAACATTTGAATCAATCCTCTACTCATGATTTCAAAGTGAAGATAATTTTGAGGCAGATCTCCATAAGAAATACCGGTCACTATACATTACTGCCTTATTCATGCAATGTTCCAACATTATCCCGTTTCCATTTCAAATGATTTTCCATGTTTGCTAATGCCAATGATTAAGTATTTTGGAGTGTCTATGGTTCTAAACCATGTACCTCCACATCAAAAAATTATCTAAGTAGTGAGCAGAAATAGGAAAATTACATTACTGGTTAGTTTGATGCAAGTTAGACGAAGCCACATTGGCTCGAAAGAGTTTTGGTAGAGGAATAAAATAAATCAAAAGTTTTGATTTTTTGTATTTTTTTGGTTGTTTTGATTTTATAAATTTTTGTATTTTTAATTTTTTTTGGGGGGGAGGGGGTATTGTATATTTTTATGACATACATAAAACACAAAAGTAAAAGGCGGATAGGAGAGATTTTAGAGATTAAGAGGCTCATTGGCATATGGCGCTAATTCAGAATGTAGTAAAATTTGTGAAAACGCGAGGAAATATCCAAGGCAGAAATTAATTCACAGGGTATGATGTGAATTTTAAACGAACAGATTGATAACGGTGCAAAGAAAGGACACTTTTCAGTTGAACTTGAGAAGATAGCAATTAGGAATCGCCAGTGAGAAATAGCAATATTAAAAGAGACGTCCGTCCTTCACGGCGCGGGGGCTGAAGCTGAAGAGGCGGAATCATGTCTACGCCATTTAGCAGGATGATAAATGTCGTAGTCTCGGCCCATGATGGATGGCTCTGGGTCGTTTTTGTGAATTTTGAATACCAAGTTAAAGCTGAAGTGCTCTGTTTTCAATCTCTCCAATTTTGAGGAACAAATTTTGACTAAGTGTTTTAATAACATCAATTGTTTTAATGTTATGGTCCGAGTGAATCACATCAGTACGGACGTACCTTTTTTCCGTTTTTATGGAATGAACTTCTCCACAGAAGTAATGTCGTTTTTGAACGTGTTACACCACATTTGCTGCAGGGCCATATACGAATCCCCATACTAACATTTCATCGTGCGATTTCAGTTGGTTTAACACTTTCATTATTTAAAAAGTGCATCACAATCTGCTGCTCCAACGCGGTGGTGCATATGGGAAATAGGCCGCCATCTTTGCACAGGCTCTGCTTCTTTCCTCAACAGTACCATTATATTGCCATTAGTTTGTCATTCTTTGAGAAGAATAACTTCTGTTAACTTACAAATCAAACAAATAACATTTTAGGAATTTTATTAAACTTTTAAAATTTTCATTTGAATTACTTACATGTACAAGAAAATATAATACTCAGAAGAAATGGTTAACAAATTTTAGAATATTTCAAACATGTTCTATGGTTCGGAGGAGAACATAAAGTCAAATGACTGCTAAAGTCATGCGTGTGTAAGAAATCACATGCGGTTGCCTTAATCAGTAAACATGGATCGAAGCTTTGCGGGAACCTCAGTAATGATATTCACCCAGAAAGGCAATTTCCCACTTTATGGTAAAAAAACTGAAATGTTTTCAAGCCAGCAAGAGTAAAATATTGAAACAGCAAACTAAAGGCAATAATTATCAAAATTTATTTCAGTTTCAGTCAAAAGTTAATGAACTGTATCAAGATAAAATAAGAAATAACAATAACGTAAATAAAAAAGCCATTCTGATATGTAAAATGCATTCATTTTAATGTAAAATATATTCATATGTAAATGTATGTAAAGCTACAAATTCATTTATTTGATTTTTAACTTTTGTGGCTAAACATCTTGTCAAACACAACGAGGTATTAGAACAATCCTTCTAGTAGTTTATCATTAAAAGAAAAGCATAGTTTTATTCGTTTAGTCATATGTGACAAACATAAGGTAGCATATTTCTATCAATTAATTATCATCATCTAATCTTTCGTCATCTCACATCCTTGAAAAGAACTAAAGCTAATTTCAATGTCCATGATAGACTAATATATTTTTTTCTAAAATGATGGTTGCCATTTTGTGGAAAGCGGGATGTGATACTACACTGGTGTGCAAAAATTAAGGACGAAGTCGAAAAATTAGCATATCAACTGAACGAAGAGGCAGAGCGGACAGAAAGACCAATCAGGAGATTAAGTAAGGTGATGTACGGTAGCACATGCGCAGATATGCAGATAGACGTAATGGGTGTGTGTCTGAGTAGTATAAAGCATGTTGTCGGTGTAAGATCAGTATCTCTGGCAAAGAGATTGCACGCCGTATAGCAGTTAAAATCACACCGAGTTGCTGCCTCAGCGAGAAATGGCGAATAATCAATCTGTTAGACGACATCTGGATGCTTTTACCCGAGGTCGAATCATTGGGAAGTTGGAGGAAGGCCGCAGTGTAACAAGTGTGGCTGCAGAGTTCGGAATTGCTCACAGCATTGTTTCACGACTTTGGAGACAATTTCAAACTACAGGAACAGCTATCCAGGGGTTTAGTAGTGGTCGTCCACGAGGAACCACACCCGCAGATGACCGGTATATTGCCTTACAGGCCAGAAGAAACAGGGCTGACAGCGGGAGAAATCGCTAGATACACGACACAGGCGACTGGACAACCGATATCGCGTTTTACCGTGGCCAGAAGACTGCACGGTGGTGGTCTGTTCGCACGACGCCCTGTACGGTGTGTACCTCTAACGCCTGCCCATCGGAGAAGGCGTTCTCTGTGGTGCCGCGAACACCAGAATTGGAGAGACAATGAATGGGGACGAGTACTCTTTACAGATGAGAGCAGATTCAGTCTGAGTAGCGATTCTCATCGCATACTCATCTGGAGAGAGCGGGGAAGCCGCAATCATCCCTCGAACATCATTGAAAGGGACAAGTATGGAGGTGGCGGTGTTCTCGTTTGGGGAGGCATCATGCTTGGTAGTCGTACAGACCTTCACATCTTCGACGCAGGTTCAGTCAACGGGACCCGTTACTGTAACGAGATTCATCTTCCATATGTGGGTCTTTTTAGAGGCGCTATGGGTCCGCAGTTCCTTTTCATGGAAGATAATGCACCATGTCATCGCACAGTAGCTGCCGAACAGCTCTTAGAGAGTGAGGATATTGAACGTATGGATTGGCCGGCACGATCTCCGGATCTCAATCCCATCGAGCATGTATGGGATTTTCTAGGCAGACGCTTGGCAGCTCGTACCTTACCACCAGTAACGATTCCGGAGCTTTGATTGGCACTGCAAGACGAATGGGCAGCAATGCCTCAGCTACTCAATGGCACCCTCATTCTCAGCATGTGCAGACGCTGTGAAACCTGCCTAGCAGTCAGGGGAGATCATATCCCCTATTAAAGACCGGATGTTTCTTGCTGGACACCCATCACAGGGATGTTTCGGCCTTCAGTCGCATTGCGCTCCATGCTACTTTTTCAATAAAGCTTCTTTTTATCCCTCTGATTTCTCTTTTAGTAAGTGTTGCTTACATTACTCATGTCCTTACGTATTGGGGATCTTACGGTATTAAATGTGTTGATTTGGAAAGCTTTTGTACAAAGTTATACTATTGAAAAAACCGTCTCGTCCTTAATTTTTGCACACCAGTGTAGCTCGGTATATGATTCTAACTTAATGCAGAGTGCAAGCAAAAGACTTAAGAAGAATCAAGAAAGCTCAGGAAAGTTCTTACATTTATTAAAATTATGTTTTGCATTATTATCGAGGGACAGTCTTCAGGGTCTTAAATAAGACACATTTAATAAAATATTCATAATACATTCAATGAAATTTGCAATCTCTGAAAATGACGCACATTTTCAGTGTGTACCGCATATTGTACACGAAGAAATGAACTTTGAAATATAACAAGAAAATTTTATGTTACCTGTGTGAACATATTTGCGCGATGCAGAGACATTCTTTTTTAACTATGTTCAGACTCCAGTCGCAATTCTATAATAGATGCGCTATTTAATAATTCAAACGAAAGTTTTTTTTAATCCAATGGCGGACACTTGCCTATTCAGCATTGGCCACTCCTATGACCAGAAATGGTGGCCATTTTATTATGAAGGTACCCAATAGGCGGCCACAGTTGCCTTCATAAAGGGACGGAAGTTACATCCATGGGCCTTCTCCGAGATTCAAACCCTGGCCCTTCGGTACTTCAGTAGGCTGCTCAAACTACTATACCGTCTGGGTGGCGTTAAACAAAAGTACACTAATATAACTCTTTGGTCCCAGATTAAGTTAAAACTTTATTTATAATTAGGAATAAATTATTAAATGTGTGGAAAAGCCTTCCAGAATACTTTTCAGAAAAAAGAGCTGACTTCTAACTTTTAGGAACAACAACAACAACAAAAAGTAATAATTAAAAAATCTGAAAGGTTTCAGATTTTAAATTACGTCCAAAGGGGCGTTTTTTAACATTTGGTCTGTTACCTTTATTTATTAAATATCACGTTCTTCGCACTTAAACCATAAAATTCAGTTCAAGAGCAATATCGCAAAATAGTTCTAAATTGAGCATATCTTTAGAATTTCCGATTAGCAGTCTCACGCGCTGGAGATAAAAATATTTTTTCTGTACAACGTTGCCATTGCTCACTTTGAAATCCTTGAGTTTGTTCATCAAAAATTCGTTAAAGTTTTACGAAATATGAAATCGATAATAAAACAAATTCCAAATTTCAAATTTTTGCTTCCACATGTCCATATTCGCTTTAGTATTACGTCATTCAAAATTCGATGGCTCTATGTACCGTTGTTTTTTCAATATACGTACATTTATACGGATTTTAAATTATTTAATTCAGGGACAAAGCCCCTTTGGACTAAAAAAACTTGCTTCTAATCTTAAAATCACACAAGCTTATTTTGAAAAAAAAAGACCGTGAACTGTTTGTTCATAAAATACCATATTGTTTAGCTTCATCATAATATGAGAATGTTACATTGTACTAAAATTATCCTGTTGTTTTCCTTTTGACTGTGTTCTGTTTTATTTTCTCATTATTCTAATATTTTCAGCCTTCTTACTGCAGTTTTGTGAATTTCATCAATAATACAATCGAAAGTCTAAAGGCAAGTATTTTTCTTTCAATAGGGTGTAGCTCTTGTTGGAGAAGTAGCAGCGATTTGTTCCACTTTAAATTATTATACCTGGGCAGATCCGCTCATTCAGTCATTGATGAGAGGTAAGAAGAGATTGACACTTCCTTTCAAGTTATTAAATATTCAGCATACCCACAAAAGTTCTTGTGCGGTCTGAATTTTCGCAACTGTTAGTCTTTGATGTGTACTACCAATACAAAATAATGTTAACTAAGATAAATATTTATATGATTTGGTACATTTAAAATTTAAAAAAAAAATAAATATTTTACAAAGATTGCGAGTCCCGTTCATGTAATTAAATGTAACGAAAATTCATTTTGTTTTCAAAAAATGCATACAAAATGTTCGTCTAACATGCAACGAAAATATTTAATTTATAGTTTGAGATCATGTTTATCGAAACTTCAAGAACTGTGGGGAAAGTAAAGGGCAAAGTATTTAGTTTTGTATGAAAATCAGTTAATGGATTACGTGACGGGCACTAATATTTAAACTATCGTTAAACGTTTCAGTCAATGAAGATTTTTCCAAGAATGCTACATCTAATAGTATCAGGATCACTGTTCCTTCTAACCTTCTTCGGGAACATGCAAGGACCTGACTCGGAACAGAGAGCTTACTAAAGCTATGTTCAAAACTGTGGGAAGTAAACAGGATACACAGAAGGGTTATAAAAAACCCTTTATTTTTCTCTATTTTACAAAAACTTCCGTACTTCGGAATACACCGACCCGCTACTTGGGGTCTAACGTAAAAATATAAAAATAGAACTAAACTCTAATTAACCTTTAAAATAATAAAACGTGGAAGATTGGCCTTATATTAACAGGAAGCGTATGTAGTACAGAGAACTGTGAACACTACAATACGTTTAAATTTATCAAGAGGATTAAATCCTCTGGCCTGGAAGGCAACAAGCAACTGCGTAACTTCTAAGGTAAGCGGCCTGCTTCGACTCACTGCTTCCTCTCTCTCGCTTGGCAAAAAGCCACAACTTAAATACTTGGCGTTCGCCAGACAAACTTTGCATAAATACCTTCACGCTTATAATTCTGGCCGGAAGTAGAAAATAAGAAGTGATAGTAAAGATTTAAAATAAAATAAACGTTAGTAAAACTTAAGATCCTTACATACTTCCCGCCAGAGTTAATTAGTTTGAAACTGAGGTCTAAAACGACCTTGTTGAAAACTTTTAGCTCTAGAATCTAACGCGAGGCCAATCTTTTACAAATATTTTTCGCTAGAAACTAGAAATTTAAAAGAAAGAAATTTGTTTTTACAATAGCAGCTCCCAGGATACACATTTTTTTTCATCTGTACTGCATCCAAAAACAGGAGCTTTATTCAAATCTGGTTCCTTCCAGAGATCTGGAAGGAAAACTAGTTTAATGAAATGTTACACAATGAAATGGCAAGTAACATGTATAATTATATTTCTCTTAACATTCTTATTTCATTCATGACTATTTTAATTATCTCTCCCCGTGCTCTCTGACATGTGTTGTAAAAGAACACCAAACACGAATGTGTTTCTGTCTACGTGTTCCACACTTCCTCCTACAATCAAAACACTAACGTGTTAAAATTCAACATACCAAGACCTCGTTAACACACCCTAATTTCAAACTCTAAACCCTGAGGTACTATTCTGAAAGTGTCTAACTCTGAAAGTGTAGCGTCAGAGAGCCTAACTACATCATTCAACCTTTAACACATATTCACCATGATCTAGTCTTTTTACAGTCACACGAATAAAAAAAAAATTTAACATTCACTTTTACCATATCACGGTATTTCTTAACATTTAAAATAACAGTTCACATGTATATAAGAACATATCAACATGCCGTTAATTTTACACATTTGAAAACATACATTAGTAGTACATTGTTAACTTCTATTCTTTTCAAAGCAAGTGCCAATTCTTTCTACATTGAAATACTACATTTCAAAAAGTCTTTCAGACTAAAACTTCTTTCTTGCTAGAATGTTTTAAATAAAATTTATACAATAACTTTTTACAATATTTAAGTCTTTACACAACGCTATTATACATCAACTTTAGTTTTACGCGCGAGTAATTGAAAAAAATAATACCAAAATCGGTAACAACTCATTTCTCGCCCTTTTGGCGATAAAGGTAGACCTCGCATGAGGTAAAACTTCTTGAAATCTGCCACTTGCAGTAAGAATGAAAGATTAACTTAAGTTTGCAAAGTAACATAAAATTTTACTTATCTTTGTGATATTCGGACATCCTTTTCTGGGCCCAGTCCTTAAAAGGTATGCAGATAGTCGTTTGATTTATCCTCCTTCTTGTACGGGCTCGCCCTTCAGTGCCTTCCTCTGGAAGCTTCCTTTTTTCACCAGTTCGGTCACCCTTGAATACCTTCTTTTTCTCCTCTGCTTGTGGTCTTGGCCGTTTGATGGCAGCTGGTCTTGGCGGAACCGGGAAACTTCTGTCGTGTTCCTGCTTGGACCTCGTTGCTGGCCGTTCAAATTTTCCTTGTAACTTTTCCTCCGCCGCTGATGGCCCTTCCGCAGTTCGGCGACATTTGCTGCGGAGAGTCCTGTCGGATGAGTAGATCTTCCGTTTTAGAGCCGGGTTATAGTTGCCGTCATTTCTCCTGGCTCTCTTTGCATACGTCGTCCTTCTCCCTTCTTCATTCTGGGGGTGTTCGTGAACTCTCTTTTCTGGACGGTGGAACGGCTTCTTTTTCTTGCTACCTTCAATTTTTCCGCGGGGAAATTTTCTTTTCACTTGCTCCTGCCTCTTAATGGCTTGCCCTTGTACTTGTCGTTTTTCCACCTCTGGAGCTTGTGCCTGCGGTGTCTGCCGTGCCGGATCCTGCAAAAGATCTGAAAATATTTGCATTTTATTACGATCAAAGTAGGGTTTGATTTGATCAATGTTTGCGGAGCAGGTTTCACCATTTCTGGCTTTTAACACTACTACAGCGTGAGTTATTTTTTCTATAACATATGGTCCTTCAAATCGTGGAAAAAATTTGGCAGTTTTATCTTCTGGTGCTGAAGAAAGTGAATGCTTAATTTTTAAAACTTCATCCCCTACTTTATAAGTTACTCCCCGTCGTTTCAAATCATAATAGAGCTTCTGTTTTCTTTGTGCTACTTCCGTATTCTTTTTGCTTCCTTTAATTAGTTTTTCTATATCACCCATTTTAAATTCTGGGGCTCTTTGTTGCACATAAAATAATTTATCTAACGGCGTTATAATCTTTCTGCCTAGAAATAACTCAGCAGGAGTTTTGCCCGTTGTATCATGTTTTGCGGTCCTAAGGGCGAAAGCAAATTCATTGACATAGTTATCCCAGCTTTTATGAAAATTTTTAACATAACTACGGATAATTTTCACTATATTTCTATTGACCCGTTCCGCTATATTTGATTGCGGCCGATACGGGACCATTTTTAAATGACGTATGCCCAGTTTTTGGCACATGTCTTCAAATATATTACTTACAAATTGAGGACCCCGATTTTAACTTTCCGATATAACTTTTAGGGGAAAGGGCCCAATAAATCGATGCCAATTATTTCATTTGGAAATTCGGATTTAATACTATTTAGAAACCCGGCCGGGCGGAAAAATTAATATAATTAACTGCTTGACATGTTGGGCAGGACTGGACATACGCCCTTGTTAACTTTTGCAGTTCAGGAAAGTAGACTGCCTCGCGTACGCGTTGGATAGTTTTTCGAATACCAGCATGAGAAGCTAAAGGGCTGTCATGGAGCTCCTGCAGGATATTTAATCTAAGACTAGCTGGGATAACAGGTCGAAATTCGTTGTTGGAATTCGTAGTTTTTGTATAGAATAATAGACCATCTATTAGTTCGTAATGGGCCGCCCTATTTCTTATCGCCACAATATCTTGGTGGCTAAAATTTTCAGGATCCTTCAAATACTCATAAATGCTTCCAAACTCAGGATCCTTACCCAGTTCGGTTATTACAGTTTCTCGGGAATTTATTGTACATGCTGTGAGCATTGCCACCTTTACGGTATTACCTTGTTCATCTATTTTAATTCTTGATAGGGCATCTGCTACGATATTTTCCTTTCCGGGGGTATGCTTGATTACCAGATTATATTCTTGCAGCTTGAGTGCCCATCTTATTAACCTTGGGGATAAATTTTTTCCCTGAGTACAATCTAGTTACCGCCGCATGATCAGAATATACTGTTATCGGCGCCTTTCCAAAATAGACTCGGAACTTTTGCACTGCTAACAGAACTGCAAGTGCCTCTCTCTCGGTCGCGGAATAGTTTCTTTGTGTTTGATTTAAAGTTCGGCTAAAAAATGCCACGGGCTGCTGATTTTGCGAAAGTACCGCTCCTACCGCATAATCCGAAGCATCCGCTGAAATTTCTAAATTCTCATCCTTTTCAGGAAATTTCAACACAGGGGCTTGCGTTAATGCTTGTTTTAATTTTTCGAAAGCACTATTGGCTTCGGCCGTCCACGAGAATCTTGCCTTTTTCCTTTTTAATTTTAACAATGGCTCAGCGATAGCCGCAAAATCTTTTATAAAGGACCTATAATATGAACAAAGTCCTAGAAAAGAAGAGAGCTTCTTTGCCGTGTTTGGAGTCGGATACTTTTGTACAGCGATTATTTTTGATTCGTCTGTCTCGATTCCTTTTTGAGATATATTTTGTAACCTAAATATTTTTAATTCAGGGGCTGCAAATTTGCACTTTTCGACATTAACTTTTAGACCGGCCTCATTAATAAAGAAAAGAAAACACCTGTCTTAAATCCTGTACATGTTGGTCGAGATTATCACTAGTAATAATGATATCGTCTAAATAGATAAATGTGGACTTTCCAAGAACAGGTCTTAACACAATGTCCATGCATCGCTGAAATGTTGCCGGTGCCCCTGAAAGGCCAAACGGCATACGCAAAAATGCATAAGTGCCAGACTTGGTTATAAAAGCAGTCTTAGGCACGTCCTCAGGCCTAACCCCTATTTGAAAATAACCAGTCGTTAAGTCTAAAGTCGTCATAAATTTGGTTGATTTTATGTTCCTTAGAATTTCTTCAATGATCGGTAACGGATATACCGGATATTTAGTTATGGAATTTAATTTACGGTAATCAATAGCGAATCTCCACCTTTTTGGATGCGTCAAAGGATAGTCATTATTTTTCTTACATAAAACCACCGGGCTAGCATAACTACTTGAGATGGGCGTTATGATCTTTTTACGTAGCATATCGGTAATATGCCATTCTATAATTTTTTCCTTATTCTTATCATACCGGTATGGTTTTTGGCGAACTGGCATTGCATCTCCGGTGTCAATACTATGGTTAGTAACCTGAGTAAGTAAATCCTGGAATATCACTAAATAACGAAGCAAATTCACTTACCACTTGTCGGATTCTTCCTTGCTCGTCATTAGGCAGGTGGTCAAGTTTTAACATCGGCGGTTCAGCCTTTTCTGCACACGAACTGGTTTCATTGTCAGCTTAAGGGACGCTTCATTAAAATCCAGTGTTGCTTGTGCGTCTGAAAGAAAATCTATTCCTAAGATTATATGCTTGCAGATTCTTTACTATAAAAAACATCACCTTTACTTGTTCGTCCTTGATACGGATATACAACGGTACTTTACCTATGCACTTACATTTTTCTCCTTGCGCCGCTAACACTGTCGTATTATCCGAATTATATATGCGGTATTTGCGAAAATACTTCCTAAAAAAATCTTCTGCCACACAGGAACACTGCGCGCCTGTATCCAGGAGTGCGGTGGCTGGGATATTATTTCACCAACACTTCAATCTTCGGAAGAGTCAAATTTTTCACCATTACTGTATTTAACTTGTAGGAAGAGGGGTTTTCGTGGCCTTCGGATTTCCGCACCCTCTCCGTCAGCAGAAATCCGTTTTAGTTTAAATTATTTTTTGTTTCCATGCTTTCCTTCTTTTTCCACTGGCCTTGAGACTTTTTTTCCTGGGTTGCTATTGAACTGTCGACGTTCGCCGGCTGTTTTTGAATGCTCGGGTTTCCTTGCCCACTGATTCGCTTTGCTTCCGTAGCCGTGTGCTTGAGTTTGCTGTAGTCTTGGCGCACCAAATTGGTTTCGTCGCTGTTGATATTGGCGTCTTCTTTCGACGTCCGCCGTTCTTCTACTTTCAAACTGGATTGCTAGCTCAAATAACTTTTCCAGTGTAGTCGGATTTCTTAATTCAATAAAGTCTTGCACTTGGGGGTAAGTAACCTCGGCAAAATCACTTGAATTATTTCAGGATCCGGACGGTTTCCATACAAGAGTTTGAAGACGTGAATTTTTCTTAAAATAAAGCTTGAGAGGTTTTCGATTCTTTGTTGATATATACTGAAAAGTTCCGTTTCTAATTTCGCACGATCCCTTACAACAGGGAAGGCTTTTAGTAGGGCAGTCTTGAAATTTTCGTAAGTATAGGTGGGACTTCCTGCTTGACCCAAGAGACTTCTGCCGATATACATTTGAACCAGTTAAGCGCTTGGCCCCTCAAAGCGCTGGTAGCTAAGGTAACTTTTTGAAACTCGTGCACGGGGTAGAGCATGAAGTGGTCATCCAATTTTTCCAAAAAACTGGTTACCGGTGAGTTTCCATTAAATGTTGCTTCTGGTTTCATCGAAGCGCGCATGGTCTGGACGATGTAACCAAATCCTTCCAGGGCGGCAGCTGGCATTTCTGGATTCTGAGCCGTTTCTGCAGGCAGCACAGGTTCTTCTTGAAACTCGGCCATGGTTATTCTTCTTCGTTGGGCGCCACTATCAGGTTCAATGTTTCCTTCTAACCTTCTTCGGGAAACATACAAGGACCTGACTCGAACAGAGAGCTTACTAAAGCTATGTTCACTAATTGTGGGAAAGTAGACAGGATACACAAGAAGGGTATACAAAACCCTTTATTTTTCTCTATTTTACAATAACTTCCGTACTTCGGAATACACCGACCCGCTACTTGGGGTCTAACGTAAAAAATATAAAAATAAACTAAACTCTAATTTAACTTTAAAATAATAAACGTGGAAGATTGGCCTTATATTAACAGGAAGCGTATGTAGTACAGAGAACTGTGAACACTACAATACGTTTAAATTTATCAAGAGGATTAAAACCTCTGGCCTGGAAGGCAACAAGCAACTGCGTAACTTCTAAGGTAAGCGGCCTGCTTCGACTCACTGCTTCCTCTCTCGCTTGGCAAAAAGCCCACAACTTAAATACTTGGCGTTCGCCAGACAAACTTTGCATAAATACCTTCACGCTTATAATTCTGGCCGGAAGTAGAAAATAAGAAGTGATAGTAAAGATTTAAAATAAAATAAACGTTAGTAAAACTTAAGATCCTTACAATAGCATTCGTGCTCTAGAAAACAGAAGCAGGCTTAAAAAATTTGTGGGCTCGCCAGCGGTCCAGCGGTGAAGCTGCCAAAGGCTGCTAGTTCGGCCCGAGGTTCGTATCCCGCGAACGAGCTGGTTGCATGGCCATTTTCGTGGTTTTCGCCATGTGTAACGTGTATACGAGCCAGTTTCCTTCAGCAAGATCCTTCATGAAGGCGTCCTCTTTTTAGGCAGGTAGCTCGCGAGGGCTTTGCCGTAATCAGATATATCAAACGAATCAAAAATTTACTCCCAGTCAATTCTTAACATCATTTACATTCTAAATCAAAGGACGATTTAAGCTATTTACGTGAAAATGCTTTCGCCATGCAATACGGAATAAAATTATAAATTAAAAAATATTACACAACAGTAAATCACAAAGGAATATCATTAAATAACATTAACTCGAATTACCCTATTTTATTTTTCAATCGTCCTCTCAAGGAAAGTCATAATAATTGTATTAAGGATTAAAAAAAACTTTTTTTAAAAGAAAAAACTAAAATTAAATATCTTAGTTATTTTATCGGAAAGCAGTCAAAATTTTTAAGTTTTATTTTTTAGTACAAGTATAAAATTTTATTGTATATATCTGTAGCAGCCGGAGTGCCGTATATACACTTATCACGTAATTTTATGTAATGTAATTCTAGAAAATTATTTAATTATTTTAATTAGATATATCATGAATTAAATGCATTTTTATTTAAATCAATCAGATAAAAATTTTAATAATAATAATAATATTCTCAAAAACTAAATCTATTGCTTTTAAATAGTTTAATTTATTAATTAGTAGCCGATGAGTTAAATATCAAAACACAAAAGAAATGCATTTTCTTACTGAGAAAGAATTTTGTTAAAATGATATTCAAAGATTACATTTCTTTTATTGTTATTTATCTTCTAATCGAGGAATGATAGATTCAAATATGTGAACTTTATTTTTGCAGTCAGTTACTTTATGGATATACCTGGCATCGTATTCCACGCTATCTTCCTCGTTGTGTCGATTATTCTTATCCTTGGTGTTACAAAGGTAATTCATAATTCTGCTCTTTGTTATTATAATATGGTTACATTACCCAGAAAAATGCAACAGTTCCACATATAATTGTACTAGAATTACCTATCTATATACAAAATTCGTCATATTTCTGTCCCCAAATTTGCCAAGAAGTTGCTCAAAGTCGCCAAACTTGGCGATATTTGTTCCTCTCCCTGCATACCCGTAATACGTATTATAATCGAATAAATATAATTTATCACTATACTAGCTGTAACCGTAAATCGACCCTCATGTTACTTTCCAGTAACTTTAAGAAGCAGAAAGTACCAGAAATATCTCGGCGGCCGGAATCTATAAGGATGAGAGGCCGAAAACTATGAGAAAGGTGAGAAGTGAAAACTATAGAACTATAGGCCGGTGACACCACTTGCTCTCAGTTGTTGTTAGCTGTTAGCTGAGCGTGAGTTACGAGTACTATCTTCATTTAAGCTTCGTTCTTTAGCTGCTCTTTCCATTGCTTTGTATTTAACGTTCATAGTAGTTTAAAGTGTAACAACTGATTGTGATACTGTGAAAAGTTGTGCGACTATTCTTGTGGAAAGTTCCAGATCTCTAAAGTTTTTCTTTTATTAAAATAAATTTTATTAACCTATCATCGGAGCTGTGTGCATTCAATCTATTACGAACCCGTATGCACGCAACACGTTTTGGTGTCAGAATTGGGATTGAATGCCGGGAACAAGAGCGATGGATGAGCAACTAAGACAGCTTGTGACTGCATTTACTGCATTTCGAGAAAGATGTAAGCTGTTCAAGAATCCGTTAAAAAGGAGATGAACGTTGTTCAAGACATATCGAAGCAGGTCAAGAACAAATGAAAAGAGAAATTACGTGCATAAATGAAAACAAATTGGAAGCTATGCAAGGCAGAATAGACATGGTTGAAGATAAAGTTGGAGAAATTCAAGAAATAGTTTCTGCCGTCCAAATTGAACGACAAATTGAAGGCAGGATTTCTGCTACAATCGCCAAAGAGTTTGAAACCTTAAAAAAATACATAGCGACAGCAAGAAGCAATTCTAATGGTTTTAAATTGTTTAGTATGTTTTCTCATCCCTCTCTAAATCTTTCCATATATGACTTGTAAGACCTCCTTGCAAGCATATAAGACACAGTTTTCTATAGTGGTGGAAGGGAATGGATGGGATTCCCAAACTAAGGCCTGTCATCTCGCTGATTCTCTGAGAGCAGACGCAGCGGATATCCTGCAGACGCTTCCAGAAAACCAAGACTTAACCTCGAAGCTCTATCCCGCGCGCTGGAGCTGGGCTTTCGGAAGAAATGTTTAAAAGACTACAGCAGGCTTCAATTGAAATCCCGTCAACAGAAACCCACGGAAACATTTCAGGAGAGAGCCACGGATGTTGAAAGGCTGTCTTATCTTGCCTTTTCGGAGTGCCCGATAAAAACAAGGGAAATCCTGTCCCTGAAGTATCTGGGATCCTGAAATAGAGAAAGTTCTACGAATGGCGGATGTGAAGGATTTGAAACGCGCCTCTGTGTATGCCATGAAATTCGAAGTAGCCCAGCAGGCAACTCATAGAGACCACGACCCAATCACAGCTGCTTACGTCCAGGAGCCAGTGGTTCAAGTAACGGCTCGTCTAGACGTTTTAACCAGACAAGTCAATGCTTTGAGAGTGAACAGGAGTGACAAGAAGCCGACTCTAAAATGCTGGAATTGCGCTGCTGAAGGCCACGTACGAAGGAATTGCAGAACACCCTAGATCATGGAAGCAAAGACCTCTCCCAGCCAGAAGAGAAATTTAATTATTGGCTATCTCGCGGGATGAACATTGCCAGATAATGAGAAGCCCCATTTCAAAGTGCTTCAGATTTTTTTTTCAAATATTATCGGCAGTAGTGGACTTATTATAATTGGACATTTCAAATGGAGTTCCCTGCAGCTACAGGTACAGGCAAAACTATGGGGGACACCAGCCATGTACCATGAATCAACTGGTAATGCCTTCCCACACTAACTATTAAAAAATAGAGAGAAAGAAGAAGAAAAATAAAGGGGGAGATAAATGCAAGTTTTATAAGAATTTACATAGACTGAAGCTTTCCAAATGGTCTAGAGTTTGCCCATTATGGTACATCGTGCAATCCCACCGTACGCACCGCATCCAGTATGTATTAAAAATAATAATGTAGAACATAAGAAGATTACAAGATAGTCTGAATACAATTTGAAATTCACAAATTAAATTGAACATCTAATTTGGTGCAACAAAAATAAAAGATAAACATAATTAGTAAACAGATAAACATAATGAGATAATTATAATTAGCACTCTCAACACAATGTTGTAATGAATTGTAATGATAATGCTAAAGATGTGGGTGTCTATGGGTTATTTCAGATATAAAGAATAATTGCAATTTATAAAATTCAAGAGTGGAGTCTTTTTGTCCATAATCACAGCATGTAAAAGTTCACTAAATTTATGCAGTATGTGGACTTACATTTGACAGAGATCTAGGCCGTAGGAAGAGAATCGTTTCATAATTTTTTTTGAAACTTTGGATACTGATGTTTATCTTAATTAAAAACATTTGGAATGTAAGGAGATCAGCTCGTGGGGATTTTATGTGAATATCCGAAGTTAAGGGGCATAAAAAAGTGTAAGGAGTTACTTCCTGGTTCTCCACATATGCTTATATCGGAGTTCGTCCTATTTCTTGAGCAGAAATATGTGGGGAAGGGTCCGTGTCCCGTTATATGGTAAATAGAAAGCCCGGCGGTCATACGAAATGACCACTCTTCTAGATATTATAAATTGTAATTAAAATGATTTGTGCAAAGGTGTCTGCTAATTTAAACTGAACTACCCAGGGCAGGCGGCGAGGACGCTCCTTTGCTTACTGCCCCACGGGGTTTCCCCCTTCTACTTGCTTAATTGCTTAAAGTAGAGTGCAATGAAAGAAACCATTGGCGGTACATTTCTTAAGAGTCCCCGCTAGCTCAATAAATAAAGGTGCTTTAAATAATGAAATGTTAATTCACATGTCAAAGATCTCTTTGTACACAACATTTCTTGTGTAGATCTTTCCATCATTTTTAAGCTCGCCTTGCAGAGGAGCATCCATTATTTTTAATTTTACGTCCGTTCTTTCACGAACTCTTGAACAGGCAACATAAAGTTGACTGTGTCCAAATGCAAGCTCAAGTAAAAAAATGGCAACACGCTTAAGCGTTTGGCCCTGGGACTTATAAATGGTCATAGCAAAGGCAAGTTTTACAGGAAATTGTCTACGTCTCAATTGAAACGGCAACCCTGTGCCGTGGCAACTTCCCCCCATTGGCTAGTACAGTTACGCAAGCAACCAATAAACTATAAACGATAAACAGACACTTAAGCCGGATATATATATATGAGGGGAAGTAACATTTTCTCCTCTGAAACGGCTGGCTCTTGGGCTTAGCGAAGCACACCGTTAGATTCTGCAGGTCCGTGGCACGCCATTTTGAACATTGGCGTCTTCATGGGACTTTAATTAGCAGAGATATTAATTATAAACTAATTTTTCCCTACGTTTTCCCTACATTTTCCATCTTTCTTGGGTTTTCCTTATTAGAGGGATTTGGCTACGTGCCAAATTCTTTTTTCTCGAATATCTATGGAACAGCGCCGAGTGGAAATTCGACACGCGTATCCTCGGATTCCAAAAAATTCTCCGAATCCATCGATACCGTTCTCATCTTCGTACGACTTTAATCGGCCGAGATATTAATTAAAAACTGCGGAAACATTAATTTCTGCGCTCATTTTTCCGAGTGGCAGCAAGAAACTATCGGCGACACAAACTTTAGCCCTTATATAAAATATATATAAAGATTTAATGAAGGATTCGAGTACAGAGATGCGAAGCTTGCATTGGGGGTCAAGTTAACTTGACCAGTTATATGTAACTTGACCAGTTATATGTAACTTGACCAGTATATATAACTTGACCAGTTATATGAAAGCATAGCTTTCCATTTCTGCACTGACTGATAGTGCAAGAGTACCCCCCCCCGGGGGTCGACGTAGAGAATTCTGCGAAGCTACTGGCTAGGATCTGTACCTAGGCAGTCTCGGCCACGGGGGTGTAAAATTTGTGAACTTGGTGGTTCTGAAGGCCATGGGAAAGGTCACTTATTGGCCGGCCTCGAGGTCTGGCATGTTCTGAGCAGTTGGATCCGTAGCCGTGGGATTTTTCCTCGGTTTGCTGGGTAACGGCCTTCTGCGACGGACGGGTAATAGTGGAGGTTGAACCTCCCCGATGTGACCCAAAGGGGGTGCACCCGTAGTGTAATTGATTTTACGAAACTGGGAACGCCCAAAGAGTTGAAGTTAAAGTTGAAGTGCAAGTACCAGCTAAAGTATCAAGTTCTATATTTGAAGTTGTGCGATATGCTCGAGCAATGCCGAGTAATGTAAGAGTGAAAGGGCTTTGAATTGAATTTGAACATTTAATCTTTATCACTGTTACTGGTTGTTCCCAAATTCCGACTCCGTAATTTACTATTTTGATATGGCTGTTTTTAGAACAGTACATGTTATATTGTGATTTAAGCCCCAGTTATATCCATGCATACGTCGTAGGCAATTAGCTATTGATATTATACGAAGTTTAATATTTTGTAGATGAGGAATCCAGGAGAATTTCTAGTCGATAGTTAAACCGAGGTACTTGATTTTATTCATAGATTTTACCTTTTGATTATCAATTTTTTGAGCTAAAGTTTTAGTTATATTTTCCCCTGGTTTATGGATCACTAAAACTTGAGACATACTATGTGAAATTTGCAGTTTTTGAATTAAACTAAATATCTGATGTGTTTCGTTGGAATCTTGTAAAATATCTCTTGTACGGCCGCTTGTAATAAATCATCTGCAGAAGCTACAATTTTTCAATGGTCTGGCCATGGACAGGCAATGATGTTGTTGAAACTGATGTTCCAGAGATCTGCATTCATGCAAGACCCTGGACATCCGCTGACTTGATTATGCACAATTTCAGTTTTGTTGTAAAAATCATACATTTCCTGTTTTTGAAGTAATCTTGAATAATTAGAAATACATTTTGAAGGCACATAAAGGAACGCAGAGATTTTAAAACTGATGCTTCTCTGCAATATGACCATCGATATATGAGTCAACGTTACCATCATCAGAAAAGATGTGGCTCAACAACTGGAAGGTAAACTCATCTGGACGCCGCACTGCGTTACCCTCCACACTGTGTCCGGCGAGAAGATCAACATCGACAGACAATTAAACGCTAACTTCAAGTTTGGAAATGCCGTCTATCATCACACAGCATAGAATCGATACGGAAAATCCTCCAACACAATTGCTAAACGGGAAGAGGTAGGGAAACTTTTAAAAGACATGCAAGAAAGCGACCTTATCGAACTTCAGCAAATCCATAGGCGTCTCCCATCTTCCTGGTCAGAAAGAAAGGCAGCTCAACTTGATTTTGCGTTGACTATCGCTGGTTGAACAAGATTACGAAGAAAGATAGCTACTCTCTTCCTAGAATTGATGATATCTTAGACACACTTTCTTGAAGCAATTGGTTTCCGACACACAAAAATTGGATATTAGCAGGCAGAGATGCACCCTGATAACCGAGAAAAGACTGTATTTACTACCGGACAAGGACTTTGGCAGTTTAAGATGACGCCGTTTGGGTCATGTAATGCGCCAAGTACATTCGAACGCCGCGTGGAGACCGTGCTGAGAAGTCTTTTCTGTGAAGCCTGTCTGATATACTTCGATAACATCATCGTCGTCGGGAAAACTTTTGAAGAACATTTAGAACATCTTAGAAAAGTGCTTCAGAAACTGACAAGAGATAATTTAAAATTAAGTCCCCCAAAATGTAAATTATTCAGACCGGTAGTGACTTATCTTGGACATGTCATATCTGCTGATGGTGTGTGCACAGATCCAGAAAAAGGGTCAACACTTAAAGACTGGAGACTCCCCGAAAATGCCCATCAGCATTCTTGAAGCTTTGCACCTACTACAGGAGATTTGTGAAGGACTTTTCTTCCATCGCAAGACCCATTCATAAGCTGGCAGAGAGCAAGCAAAGGTTCTTGTGGACAAAGTAATGTGAGGATGAATTTAACAACCTGAAGGAAGCTTTAACAGTGCCCCTTTTCCAAAGGCCGGGCATTAGAAGCAAGCAGATTGGGCAGTATATCCCTTGAAATAAACTGTGAAATAGTGTTTTTTTACATAAATGCTAAACTAATTTAAAATTTTCTCCTTTCCTAAACTGCAGCATCCATTGCACGCATTTGTCGTGATTTGTACCTTGTTTAACTGTCTTAAGCCCAAAGTGAGGAAGAGCGAAATAGGTAGGCTGAACTTAAAAGTTATACCATTTCAGGAACTAATCATTCTAAAACTAATAATTCAATTATCTAAAACTAATAATTCAGTTCTGAAGAAACTTGTACGAATTTTTATTTGTAAGTATTTAAAAAACTTTTTTAAGAATTTTTATGTATTTTAGTATTAATTGAAAAAGAAGTTTAGTTTTTTTTTTTTTTTTTAAATCTAACTACATTACCTAAGAATTTGCTCTTAAACTGATGAGTTAATGTTCCGACAATATGATAGCAATCCATTGTAATAATTTTTATATTTAATATGCATAATTCATACTTTTTTGAGAAGGAATAAAAGGATTTCCAGGAATTATTTTATGTTGGAAAAGTAATTTAAATGTTAGGATTTCTTACATTTAAAACTGCTGGTTTTAATGTTATTATGAAAATTCGGGATCCCGTTTTCTTCTTGTAGATATTTTAACAAATTTTAGAAAAGAGGGTCTTTTTTAATATTCAGTACCGCACCGTTTATTTATTCTTGCATTATTTTTTAATTTGAGCATATTTATACACGAAGCTTTACTATTTTAAGGTTACTGTAGCCAAATAGTTATCCTTTTTCAAAGATTGCGTTAACCTTCTTGATATTATGACAGAGATCCGTGATGCCGTTGTACCATGAAGAATTACCACGTGAAATGGTGCAGTGTGTAGAAACAATGTCTTCATCCAGTCGAGTGTAGGCTTTTTATGCTTATTAATCATTTATTACTTTTCCCTTTACTGGCGTTCCTACTTTCATCGGCTTCCACGAGAATGTGAATTATTTAATGTATTTACGGACAGAACTCTTGAGTTTAGGAAAAGAGCTAGTGGTAACTATCGCTAATCTCTCGTTACTGCTTCTCCTAGCGCTTGAATTACCTGAATCGGTTTTTAGTAGCCATAATTACTCGCGTAATTTAAGGACCTGAATCAAAACTTGGAGGCTTGCTTTGTCTTGTAAATCTCATGTTTTCATACTTTATTGTAATCTTTGTTTCTATTATTCCCCCAATCAGCGAAGTTTAATAGTTATTATATAAATTATGTACTGTTAGGCTGAAGAAGTACTAAATATGTGTATTTTTTCTATGCTGGAATGTCTTTACGGAGAGATTTAGAAAGGCTGATAAATCGCCTGACAGCCTTCCGTGGAGAGAGAGACCTGAACATGTAAAGAAGTTATGTTCATACAGGATAACATGTGCAGTTTCTGGTGCGCTGCCTTGGAAACACTCTTCAATTTCAAAATTCTTCAGCAGATGAATAACAAATATACTTTTCATTGCCCGAAACAAGCCAATCGACATTTATAGGAGGATAGAGAAAACTGCATTTGGCATGCAGCTCGTAAAGGAAAGTACATTTCCTTCAAGGTTAGGAAAACCTGTTACACCAGACTTCGCTACTTAGATGTAATCGTTAAACCAGCAATCATGGAACAACTGGAAGAATATGTGAAGACCGACAACAGAGTTTATTTGACAGTTTAAACTCCATTTTAACTTCTCACATTATTAAACATAACTGTCATTTGACAACTGCCATCTGAATGGAGACGAATCAGTCCTATATGTCGTTTTATTACTCACGGTCATATCCCGTTATCTGATGACACCAACTCGTTTCTGTTTCGTAACATCTGATAATGTCAAGTCTAACTTTGAAAATGAATTTATATTTCACTTTCTATCTCTTATAGTTTTCCCCCGTGTTAGATATTAACGAGTTTGATTTTCTTTTAATATCATGATAGGATATTAGCGCCTTGTTGATACCGTGGTTAGGATGGTGTCCATTGATGTTAGCAGCGATCTTTATAGAGATTGTTTTGGTTATCATAAAAGACGTAAGTATTACGATTTCTATTATTTATATATGCAAACTGTTAAATCACTATCACACTTCCCTACATTTCAGATAACCTGTTTCCAATAATCCGCTACCGGATTTACCATTAACGGAAAGAAGCACCACTTTTTTCCCCGTTCCGAATAGGGTTTCATTTCGAGTTAACGATATTTATAAACTGCAATATGTTTTTACTTAAAACTAGATGAATTTCATTTGACAAGGTGGGGATTATTTTTTTGTAATGATTATAGTTAGAACTGAAAAACTTATATCTTCCGATTTGTATGCGTGAAACAATCTATTTTGTAGGGACACGACATTTATTTTGCAACCTATGAGTAACATGACATTTATTTTCGACAAATAGATGGATCTTGAGATCTTCACAAATCTTAATGTTATTTATCTAAAACTGATTTTTACACCTGCAGTAAGAGTGATAATAAATTTTGCTTTATTCTGGAAGAAATTTAATATTAAATTGCAGCTGAAAATATTCGGAGTTGTTAGAACGAACAGCATCAGTGTATCTGAGAGCTGTAATGAAACGGTTTTGTTTTGCAGTACAACTGCGTGGGTGCATATGGATGAAAACAACTGCCAGTACAGTTAGTTACCACTTGTGAATTGTAGCTGGGTATTAAGAGTAAGCAGCTGTGCCAACCATGATCATAGCAGGCAACACTCATACACAATCTGGGCTGAGACATAGGCATTTTGCAGCCCCGTGCAGTCTCTATGAGTCCTAATTTCTGTTCCTCAGTACCTTCTTGAATCTTGCAAATATTTCCATCCCTAAATTCTGCTGTTTAGTTCCTCCCTTAAATTCTGAAATGTCTTGTCGTTGAAGGTCTCCCATTCCTCTTCCTCTGTCATCAACCAGAGAGGATTTCAGCTGGCCAATGTATTTTTAATGTCTCCTTGCTACAGACGTTATACGCTTACAAATATCCATGCGTTCTCCAGAATTCGAAACTGAGTTTTTATTTCACTCACTTTAACCGCTAATCCGTCTGGGCCAGCTGTATTCAGAGACAACTTCGATTGTTACTGCGGCTCTGTTTGAAGTGGGATTCATCACTGCAAACTCGCTTGGCAGCGGGTATAAGTAAGACATAGTTTGCGTTATTGACATCGTGAGCGTAAACTTCGTTCTTCGAAGCACCTATCAATATTCCTTGAGGCCACTGGTATTCCTTCTATACGCCTGATAGTTGATAATGATGAATCAGGTACTGTGAAAACCACACTGGCGATCACTCTGTCCTCACATTCTGTCGTCTCCCTAGATTGATGATTACCTTCTTGAAAGTATGTTTTGCCTTAATTCAACCATTCCTGCCATCGGAGGGCGGCATCGCTCCAACCCAAATGTTGAGAGATTCTTTGAATTGATCATTTTGCTTCTTCTAGTCCAACTGCACGTCCTCTGTGAACTAGTGATATAAGCTCATACTGTACAGATATTATTTGATAAGTATTTGTGGAGTCAAAATGTGTAGGCAAAATCAAATTCGAATAGAAATTATGTTCTTGAATAGAAATTTCTCCTCTTTTTTATACCATCAAGGTTGTTCGTTTAGGTGCTCTGTAGTCAATTCAATACCAATCAATTCTATTTCTTGAAGTAAGCAATAATTCAGCAGTTTTTCGACTGTTTTATATCATTTCTAATTTCGTTCACTGTACCTTTACGTATAAGCTCAAAATTATTCTCATTATCTTCTAGCCTTACTTCGCAGCTCCAGTGATTTGCTTTTGCCTAATGATCTTTCTCTTTATGGTAAGTATACATTCTTGTAAATTTTTCAGTTATCGAATAAATCGTCTTTTCTAGATATTTTATATATGCTAGTTTGTAATTAAAAATTAGTATATCATTCGGAAAACAATTTTGAAATCCAAGTTATTATAATAAATATAAGAATGCCCGACCTCCATTTGTTTACTCCAAGGAATAACCCACACTTGACTTGTTTACCCTAGTTAATTCTTAAACAGAATATGTTTCTGTTTTTAATTAACCCTAAAAATGCATTTTAAAGAAAAGTCGTGCACCATTCATTATATAATCAAAAAAGAGATAAAATTTTTTTTATTAAACATTATGATACTTTAATTATGCTTTTATGTGTCCGTTAAGAGGACAAGAAGTTTCTAAATGAGGCCTTACTCACTCGAATTTCATTGGTTGAAAGAAGGCACCGTCAAGGCAAACGGCAGGTGTGTAAGGCTGCGTTCAAACGGTGGTCCATGTGTCCTAATTGGTTTAAACAGAGCTTATTTGATAGATAAACAGATATTGATACGTCACAGAAACCGATTTTGAGAGTTAAGCATAAAGTTTCCAACTTTCTGCCGACTTGGTATAAGAGCCGACCAATCGGAGCGAACGTGCGAAACCCATTAAGCGAAAAATACGATAAGCTAACGATAAGCTCATAAACTTTGGAACGACAATTTTTATATTTTTGATTTTTGAGTTTGTATCAGGATAAGTTTCTTTTATGTACTTAGATATTCTTAAATGGTAACTAACTAACTAAATAAATAAATATTTAAATACTAATGGAGTCATATTTTGAATACTTATCTCTACCTCCTAAAAGTTCTTTTATTTGATGTTAGACTAATTTCTGCTCCTATTGCTAATTAATAGTACAATCCATTACTATGTTTCTAGATATCTTCAACCTATCTCGGTATGATTAAATAAAATCCAGGTTTTGTTTATCATTTGAATGATTAATCAGTAAACACGCGATAAACATGAGATAATGTTCGATTCGTTTTGTCACAGGTTCCTTGGTATATTACTCTGCAGCTATAAAGGATATAAAATAATATTTAAACGCCTTATTTTTATTTCCCTCTTATTTTAGCTAAGCTTATTTCTTGATGTTTATATAATAAGCTGTATTCTGTATTCTCAATTTTAAAAGTCAATGGACAAAGATTAACAGCTGAAAGACAAATTTTAGAAAACATATTTCGCAGAATTGCTTTGATAACAGAATGGGTGAAAAACATGCTTCAAATTACGAAACTGTTCAAGGATTTTAAAGAGTCAATATTTAGCCTTCGATTAGCACTGGATTTGAATAAAAAAAAGGGCAGATCATTTCATAAATCTATTACATAACTTTACACAACATTAACACTTTAGTCGTGTTACATAAATTTTACCTTTAGACTTATTTACTTCGATAAGGATAATTTTTTACTATACTTCTAGTTGAATTTTAAACAGCTGTTGTTCGAGGATGTTGAGTTTTAAATCTGACACAGAAAGTAAAATTCTAAGTATGTCTAACGCTTTGTTCTTCGTTACCGCACATCACAATAAAAAAGTAAAATAAAACATAAGTTTTGTTAAAGTAGGCTTTTATTTAAAACTCATTAAATAAGTAAGGAACTTTAAAAAGAAAAAATAATTTATCATATAGTTTAATGGGAATAGCAGATTAAATAATTATGTTAACAAAACAATTTTATATTACGGATAAAATTTTGGGGCGTCATTAATAAATTTATAATAGTAGGAGCTTATAAGGTTTTACAATTTTTTGTTTTGTTTGTTTATGTGATTACGTCAAGGTCTCGAGCTTTATCTGCCTAAGAGGAGGGATGACTTCGAAGAGGAATTTGTAAGGGCGACTAGCTCGTATATACGTTACACACGGGGAAAACCACGAAAGCGCTCATGCAGCCAGCCCGTTCACGGATTTCAAACCTCAGACCGAACTACCACTGTTCAGCGACTTTACCTCTCGGCCGCTGGTGGGCGTGTTTCACAATGAATTTGATTAACAGATTTTGTTATTAAGCTTTTGTTATTCATGATATTGTGATGTAGCCGTTCCTCAATAGACACTAATGCCGGCTAGCTTTAAAAGGATTTATTAACAGAGCACACAGGAACGGTTACAAACAAAAGAAATATACATAAAAATGAAACATATACCAAATGGAACATCAAACAGTTGAATAATAGAGACATAGTAAACTAACATCATGGCGGCTGGAGTTCGACTGACGTTTTTTCATATCGCCACGAGATGGCGTTTAAATAAAATAGTTCGGTTACAGTTCATGAGTTCATGGCGTGAATAAAATTGTTCAATTACACTTAAATAGGTCTGTTACAATATGAAATTATACATGAAATTTGTAAAGGGACTTATTTGATCTGTTGTTACTAATTAAACTCTATATTCATTTATTTCCTTTCTTTGATTCTTTAATTAGTTTATGAATTTTAAATAAAAGCATTTAAAAAAACATTCATCTTATTTTATTTTATTATTCGCAGCTTTTTCGTCTAGATGTCTCATTATAAATCAAATTATTCTATTGAAAAATCAATGATGAATAATCACTTTTTTTTTCAATAATGAATAATCATTCCTTTAACTTCCCACTGTTCTCCTACACCTAATGGCCATCCATCATTTTGCTAAAATGTCAGAAATGATGTTACAAATCTCGTATAAACTTCTTAAAAGATTTTTTTTAAAGGAATTCGGAGTTTTAGTTGATCAAAACGAGATATATGCTAAAAATTGTTTCATCACTTTTTTTTTTAATTTTAAACCAAATTTTAAGAAAATCGTTTCACCACATTACCATCCACAATGAGTAGGTGTGCAAAATTTAAGCTCTTTCGCTTATCAAGAAATAATTTAATAATCAAGGGCATGTTTCGACTGAAATACCATGAACGACGGGAAAAACTCATATACTTTTTCAATAAATTCTAGAAAGTTGCCTAACTAATATTTTTTTCACCATTCTTGTTTTAAAGAGGTGAAGAGTGATTTGTTACCTTTCAAAACTTAAATTCTTTATAGTATATACATTTTTGAACGTTAGACTTTTAAATTTCCATAAAAGAATATAATGTGTTACATACCATAATAAAATTAAGAAATAAACTTTTAACGTAAAATGTATATATTTATTAAATGCAAAATATTAAAAATTATGTGGCAGATTTCATTGCAAATCATTTTAAACGCTGATTAATTATGTTGATTTTGAGATTAAAATAAAACTAAATCTTAAATGCAAAATTTATCTGCAAGAAAAGGGGGAAGACAGAAAAGCTATATCGGTCTGAGATAAGAACTAATTTTAAAGTTTTCTGTTTCAGATCTATGGTTCTCTGATAGTGGTTTCTTATTTTCGTGAGATGACTAAATTCGATCCCCATTTACGTAAGTAGTTCTCAACAGAACTTGCATGCAACAGTTTTTTTTCTCCTATCGGCAAATCTAGACTAAGAATATTCTGCCCATCAATGTCACAATAATATCTTTAATGTTTAGGTTATCTGACAGATGTCAGCTCCGAAATCCCATCGTCCTCACAGCCCGTTAGAAGGCCCAGATGGATTGCCTTTTATAAATTTAGAAAGCCTGGAAATATCCCAGGTCAGTAATTGTAAGTTTCTTACTATATGTAGAATTCAGCGAGTCTTTAGTACGTATGTAGAGTTATATCTATCTCAATAGGTATCATCATGTGTTTTCATGATTGCTGCAATTGTTTATATTATGAATGAATGACATGAGAGAAAAGAAAACGCTAAGAAGTGTTTGCTCGAAATGTCAAAGTATGTAAAACGCTATACTTCTTGATGAAATTGCTGCGACGATTCTTGCTATTTGCAAATATCATTACCTGTTCTGGAACTACGATATACATGTATAACTATTTTCCCTAATATGAAACCGAAATGCTAAGAAAATAGATGCTATTCAGAACAAGCAATAATCTAGCGCCAAGACCAGGCTATGAGTCAGATGCATCCACATTTTTGAACGGAATTTTTGAAACAACTTTTATATAGTTTCGGTGATGTGTAGCCAAGTATTGTGATGAAGAAGAAGGATTATTGTGTTCTGTTGAGCTTGTGGTTTTGTCGGATGATTTCGGGCAATTTGTTTTGGATTATCCTAGTACCATATAGAGTCTAATGGTATGTTTATGTTGCATAACCATTGTATCATACTTGTAAAGCCCCATAAAAAGGATATCATAATCATTTCAATAGATAATGCTACTTTAAACTTCCTCGGGGGTGAAACATTTTATTGACGAAAATGAAGTGATAGAATCCCCATTCAAAATACTGTCAAGAAGGATGTCTCATTTCAGCATAATTTTGAAAACAACTTTCAAAATAATTTATCAGCGGACAACTTTGAGAACGATGCATAATTCATATACCATTTTCTGACATACAGACCATGAATTACTGAAAAGCATTCACCATTTCATAACACCATCCGAAACTTTCATCTCGGAAACAACATTGCGCAATGTTATCTGTCTCTTAACCATTTGCCAGCATGCGCAGTATTGGTCATTTCGTGAGCGAGCAAAGATATGTACTATTTGTCTGATATCGAATCTCCACCTCGTCTGTATTAGAACAAACAAACGAAGACCTTTTAACACAAATTATCTAATATGATGTAATCATTATAAACTTTGATGACATTGATTATGGACATTCTTCGGATCACAAAAATTGAAACTCACACTCTGACAGGAGACCACGTTTCCAACTCATTTTGAAATGCTGCTGCACTCCTCTCGCTGCCTTTAGCACTTCTCAGAGTCACCTGAAATAACCACTTCCGTATTATGAAAATTCAAAAAACCTTTTATTATGGTACTATGTAAAGGGTGTATTTAAAGTTATTATTTACGTATATCTCAAATAATTCATGCAGTTTATCAAACAGTCCAGGCAGCATGGCTTCGAAAATGGCAATTTATTTGTGCACTTAAATTGTTATGCAACTATATAAATCACACTGAATAGTGACACTGCTTTGAAACTTTCAACGTCAGTTTATTCACTATTTAAAAGTTTCACCTCTAGAAATTATCGGTTTTATCTCATGATTATTTTGCCTGATTTCTTGGTTTTACTTGAAGTATGCGTAAAATTTACTACATTTTAGGACTGCTTTTAGATTTTTATACTGTACATAAACTATATGATTTTTAAGAGAATGTTAAGAAGTAATAGCGACATTCTTCCTTTTATTCTCCGAAAATGAATGCATTTGTGGCAATTTTTATCATTTTAACGTTTGTTTTAAGAGCAAACAACTAAACATAAATATTTCTTAATATAGCATAAGGAATTAAGATTCAGCATCGTTATTTATTTTTTATAAAATTATTTAAGATAGCCTTTAACTCAAACCTATTAATTGTGTAGTATATGTTACGTAATGACCTTTACATTTACTGTCCAACAGCTCTATTAAAGGACAGCGGCATAATTCGAATAGCGATTTATCCGAGACAAATGTTAAACCTGTCTTAACAAGACTGGATGTTTCATCACTTGTTTTGGACAACTTGCCGTTTATTTACAGAACTCTTATGATTAGGGAAGTGTCTCATGCCAAGAAAATGGACACTTTCTGTGTTTGATAAAACTATAATATTTAAAGGCAATAAACTAATAGTTCTAGCGGTGCTATTGTAGAATCATTAGGTTAATTGGAAGCAGAAAAGACGAAAAATATGCAACCGTCTTCGCCGGGAATCGAACCACGGACCTCTGGAATACCGGCCCAGCGTGCTACCGTTACACCACGAAGGCACGCTGGAAAGCGGGAGAAATACCTTATATACTCCCCTTTTTAAAGGACGACTAGTTTTAGGGAACCTAGTCGCCAAATCCTGGGTGCGAAGAATCATCATCCACAACCCTTTTAGTTCGGGCGCCACTTCTAGAGTCATTACGTTAATTGGAAGCAGAAAAGACGAAAAATATGCAACCGCCTTCGCCGGGAATCGAACCACGGACCTCTGGAATACCGGCCTAGCGTGCTACCGTTACACCACGAAGGCACGCTGGAAAGCGGGAGAAATACCTTATACTATATAGATTAGATCAAATTCAAGTTTTTATTTTCGAAGTTTTTCTTCACTAAATCACTTCTTTCAAAGTAAATAAGCATTAATTTAGAAGTCAAACAACAAAAATCAGAGTTATATTTTCAAATTTTGTTGTTTCTAAATTAATATGTGTTGGGCGTGTTATTGTATGTTAATTAAATAAGCATATTTGTTTTATCATTCAGAAAAAGATGAGAGTTTGTTATTTTATTGCCAGGTGAAAAATAACTATAAACAAACAATTTCGAAGTATACGTTACGAAAGGCACTAATGAGCTGCAACTGTATTTTCTGTGTAGCCTTTCTAAACGGCATGTTTAATTTCAGAAATTTCGCAACACTTTCGAGCAGATTTGCACCACATCAATTGCGAAAAATTGCTTTGAAAATTCATCACGCCGGGCAGACCATTTAACTCAAGCGACTGCATGCAGCTTATATTTCTGTTACAATTATGCAGGGGTGGAAGGGATTACCTAACAAGCGCGGGCAACTTGAAAAAACATTTCCTAGCAGTTTTCTCAAATAACCTTTCCTTCGTCAAGGCGTGAAGGTACCGGCATCTTTTATTCTTACTGACAGCCGCTCTCCAAGATGCAAGGGTACCCTAACGTAAGTGCACATCTGTGGTAGCACTCTTATGAAATTAAGTAAGATGAAGAAAGCAAACTTCATCAAGGCTGCTGTGACTTGGCGAACATACGTATTTACATTTGCATCCTTCTAACATTTTGTAAAACCAACTTTGTGGCGGTAGGTGAAAGTTTCTTGCTTTGATGCAATGGAGTGGACAATTTAACCCAATAGTTATTAACATGCGACGAGCTAACCACTACTGGGTTAAAACTTTGAATTTAATGCAGTTATCATTAGTTTAATGTTTCGATTTTTTAGAGTAGCATTAAATCCATGTCTTCTGATGAGTTTAACGTTTTTGCTGCATGAATTCTACAGCTCTAATTAATGTTTCATCCGTATGAACCACTGGCATGAAGTAAGGAAGCAACGTTACAGGCACTCGGTGCCTCAACCGCCTCTGCAATTATGATATTTATCAGTAATTAAAAATTTTATTGCCTTTTTAGCTCCTTCTTTGGATCACCAGATGCCAGGGCCTTCTACTGCGGACAAAAGTACTTTAACCGATTTCCCGATCTCCGAAAAATCTACCATGCAAAAGGTTTTGAAGCAAGCATATGCGAAACTGTGGACAACCGCACATAAGTCCCCTCAGTCTTCATCGTCAAGAAATATCTTGTCATCTTCAACTGAAACGGAAACGACTTTTATTGAGACTCTTTCTTCGGAATAAAGTTTAGTATATCCTTTCGGGCTCTTAATGCACAAAATAAAATAAGATTTTTTATATTATTTATTTGCAATTATGGTGAGTATTGTTTCAACAAATTACTCGTACATGATAAATTAGAAGGATTTTAAAATGTTTATTATTTTAATCGCGTTTACTTTCCTCAGTTTTGTTCAACATAGGACATCAGTTGAATTCATCAGAAACGTTTCCCAAAAAAATTTTATTCTGCATAAGTTTGCCTTATTTTGTGAAACTGTACACTGTTTGTTCGATAGCCGTGTGGAAAAAGAATATTATCGTTGTTTGGTATCTTAATCTAATTAAAGTTTTAGTATAGCTTTTATATAAAGAGACAGAAATGGAAAAGATATTTTTTAAACAAACAGACGTAAGCAACAAGTTGTGGAAATCGTACATTTCATTTTATATAATCAAAGCATGACATATTTGCAGAGACATGAAATACTACTGAACAGACCTTCCACACAAATAATTTTATTTATGTTCTTTCATTTTCAACTAAAAATGTGCTTTTGTTCAGTGCATTCTTTGTGTTAAGTCACGCGTTCTAAATAAAGGAAGCAATGCCAACTTTTTTGAAGGCTGATTCATACTTTTGTCCTCGCATCCCTTTAATTCCAAGCGGATTATTGAAATAAAAATCAGAGTCTTTTAATAACGTTAAAGGGATGTTGATGAAGTTATGGGAAGTTTCGGTTGGACTAAAAATGCGCAATTTGTGAAGTGTCATTTAAGTAAATATTTCAAATAATATTTAAACGAATGTGAAATTTAATAATAATGGATTTTAAATTTCCTCTGAGTTTACAAGGCATGAAATCACAGAACGGTACAGCTTAATAGCGGGTTAGTTTGAAATTCAAAGTAAATTTATTCCTGTGAATAAATTAGATACTCTGAAATAACAGTGCTGCTTTTTCCAAATAACATTTCTTGTAAGAAGGACCCGTATCTTATCGGACTAGATCAAAATAGATGCAGTTTTGTTTAAAATTTAGTAAATAAAAGGCTGCCTTTTCCCCTGACTTTTGAGTTTTTACACTGACGTATTTCTCTTTCAGTTTGATCAATTCAGAAAATAAATTTCAACTAAAATCAGTAAGCCACGTAAAAAATTGAGTTAAATTTCACATAATTACACTAGCGTAATCCAACTCCTAAAGCTAGACGCATTCAAAAACACAAACTAGTTAGTCATAGCAAGCTAGTTATACACAAATTACTTATATATAAACTAGGTATATATAACTTGTAAAAACAAATTAAAATAATAATACATTTATTTTTCTATTATTTAAAACAGAAAATAACTAGAACATTAAAATATCTGCTTCAATGCACAAAAAACTAATATACTACACTAAGTTATTTACGAAAGGTATAACCAGTTGTAATTGTCAGAAAAATTTCTAAAATGCTTTCAGGACTAAACCAGGCTTTATGTCTTTTCAAGTACCCAAACTATTATGGTATGATAGAAATAAACAATATGAGAAATTTAGTTTCATGATAATTTAGTTTAACGTAAGGAAACAGACTCAATCCTCAGGCAATATCATGTTACACTTATTTGGACAACTCAGAATTATTTCGTAACTCCCTTCATCAGTATATTCTGTAACATACTGTTGCTTACTACGCGTTCGTGGATTTGGAGTGATTGAATCAAAACACAAATTATTCGCCAGTCTTTTACAGGACAGTTCCAAAGACGAGTCTGCAGTCGTCAAAAAACTGCGACAAACACGCTGAAGCAATCAGCAACACAGCCTTTAGGCTATAACACTATAACGGTAAAGACAGCTTCACGGCAAAGCACTAATGTACAGCTCCCGACTCGGTTCGATCGCTCTCAAGCTCTCTAAACTCAAGACACTATTAGCGAATCCAACAACATACTCTGCGTAGAGGTAGGAAATATGTATCTTTTAACCTACCTTCGAGAACATTCTCGAGGAAACCGCTAAGAGTATGTTTTAGAATATTCTTGTTCCATCTATGATGTATCGCCAATTTTGTCGCCAAATAGGCGATTTCGCGCCAAATCTGGAAACCCTACCCCGCTTTGCGGGGAAGCTATTTTACCACAGATGAGCATTTCTCAGCAATACATTACATTATTAACATAATTTATGTATGTGATAGTGCCAAAATATTGAAATTTTATTTAATAATTAAATCATTAATTCCAATTTCATATTACTGCTGATGATCATTTCTGTATTGACACAGTACTAATGTTATAAGTGTACTCCAGAGAGAAATGTATTTCATTATCCAAAAAAGACATATGATCTCTTGAAATTTAACTGATTTAATTATTAACAGTTGGGACTAGTTCCTAATTTCTTATTTCTCATTCTAAATGTAATTGATTCCAATTTTTCCATTTCCCCATTCCCTCAAAACTTATTTGTACACCCATTATTATTTAATGGCGAACGCTTCCCTGTAAAATGAATGGAGTCAGACAGAAAAACTTTCTGCTTTGAAGGAAAAATATCATTTGCCTTCGGAGGCAGGAAGATTGAAATTCGTTTGAAAGTACCACATATTCTCAATCCTCGGTGAGAAACAGGCATACATCTTAACCCACCTAAACCTAATAATTCTACTTTTTTATGTGAATTTATTAATATCTTCTTAGTTGCCACAAATTACGAATTTAGTTTCATATAATATTTTATTCCCCCAGAAAACAGGAATACAAATTCTTTTTCATATCCACGTAGTCCTGTTCCTCTTTGAGGCTTCGTTCAAATCTACTTGAAAAATTGTGCTAAATAGGTATTGACTTCTTGAACATGTCTCTCCTTTATCTATTAACACTAGCTTTTCTGCAAATGCGAACTGTTATCAAATCAGAGCACCAGCACAGAGTTCATCAAGAAAGTGTAACTTCTATACCTGTGTCACAAGTTTACACACTTTCAGCTTAGATTATAACGACGATACTTTTTTTTTATTTCTTTCCGTCCCGTAGCTTCAAATAAAATGAAAAACTTCAAATATAATGAAAATGATAGATGCTTAAATTGCTTGCAAAGAATGATACAGCCACTTTCTCGACAGTTTGTCACCTTAGGGATCTTACCAAACTGGGTCATGCAACAGGATTACCGGCATTACAGAATTCTTGAAACTTACAGTAACATCTTTTTCGTGAGAACCAGAAGAAGATCCTAGTGACGAATTTTATTCAATAACGCAATAATAGCTTTCGTTTCATATATAAAAAAAATGTAAAGAATATACGATTATACTAGTAAATCACCTTTAAAAAAATATAAGGTTATGTTCTATTATTTAAAAATATACAGATGCAGAAATTTTTCTAATTCGTTAAAGTCTGGTTTCTTTAGCATTTTACCGACTTTTTTAACCATTCATATATTAATTCATAAGACAAAATTAAATATGTTATATTTTACGTAACGTTTTTGCCAATGTTTTGTGACTTTTATGAAAAATAAAAAAATTATTTAGATTATTAATTTTTATTTAGATTATTAAAAATTATTTATAAAATTTTATTGAATATATCTGTTGAATTCCTGTTTTGTAGATTTAGAGGGATATGATTACTTTTCGTTTTATCATGTGAAAGCAATAATATTCTTTCCATAAAATATTCAAAAATCTTATCTATAAATACTTTACGCTATTTGAAACAAATTTCTTTTAAACGAAACCATTTTGTATGGTTCTATTCATTCGCTTACAAGTCCAAAAAAAGGGCCCACCAGCGGCCGAGCGGTAAAGTCGCTGAACACTGGTAGTTCGGTCCGAGGTTCGAATCCCGCGAACGGGCTGGCTGCATGGGTGTTTTCGTGGTTTTCCCCATGTGTAACGTGTATACGAGCCAGTTTCCCTTGGAAAGTCCTCCACGAAAGGCATCCCTCCTCTTAGGCAGATAGCCCTAGTGTGCTTTGCCATAATTAAATACACCACACCACACCACTACAAGTCCAAAATCGGTTTTCATTCGATTACAAGTCCAAAATCGGTTGCTCTGTTTATCCATATTGTAGGAGATTTTTGAGCTTATTTGAGATCTACTTTAACATTAAAGTATCGTATACATTTTAAAAACATCTCACGAGTAAAACACCTGTTTTTATCCATCACTAAAATTTAAATAGTGAATGCAAAATGGTTCCAAAATCAAGTAAATGATACAAGTGCATTTGCTAATAGATCTATATTCCTAAAACAATATTAAAATAAAAAGACACGTAAAGAGGCAAGTGTGAAGCTCTGCAAATGCAGTAAAATCGACGTGGGAAGTGACATAATGAACCTACAATGTCTTAATTTATTCTCGTAGTCTTGAAAACCTAGAAGTGCACTTGATCGGCTCAAGACACGTGATATTTTGTTATTACTTTCAAAAACTAGCCTAAATAGAGTCACGTAACTTTTATTTTTCAGTATTATTCCCCTTGTTATCTATTAATAGAAATTCTATGCCTTTCTATTCCTTCTCAATAAATTCGGTATGTTGCTTAAAGAATCTAATTGCTTTACTGTATGAATCATTTAAAAGTGATGCATCTCATTGAACATGACAAGTATCCTTGTCTAATATTCTCAAATTATATCGATTACTTATTAGAAATTTGTAATAAAGTAATAATTATTAATCATTAAATTCACGCAGAATGCTGCACAATTAATTGAATAATAAAGCGATAGTAAAATAAATTAAATCTTTCATAATGGCGAGCTTACTAACAGGAAAAAACAAAAGTAAATCAATACAATGATGTTCGTAGAATATTAAATTATAAATAAAAATAGAAAATAAGATATAGATAATTCCTTGTTCTTTTTCGAGACGTAGCCTAGGTCGTGAATCAAAAATTCAAAAATTAATCCGTAACTGAAATTAACACTTTAACCCGAACTTTAATTTTATATCTGTAATGATGTTCTTTTAATATATTCCCTTAATTTCTCTGGCATATTAAAAGTCTCTATATATACCGCTTTTAGTTAATTAAGTTAAGCCTTAATTAATTAAGTAAATTAAAGTAAATTTAACGAAATAAAATCGATATAAAATAAAATAAAAAGTGAAGAAGAAATTAAAATTTAAAACAATATATATAGATAGATAATATTGATATAGATCGATATAGATATATAGAGATATAGATCGATATAGATATATGGATAGCTTTAGATATAGATCGGTATAGATATATATATATATAGATATAGATATAGATCGATATAGATAGATATAGATGTATATATTCAAATCGTTCTAAATAGGTATTGACATCTTGCTTATATCTTTCTTTTGTCTATTAACTTTTCTGCAAATGCGAACTGTTATCGAATCAGAGCATCAGTACAGATTTATACATCATCAGCTTAGATTATATCTCGAATATTTTTCTATTTGGTATCAACTGCCGCATCTTTCTTTCCATCCTATAACTCCAAATGAAGTCATGACAATGATAGACGTTTAAATTTCTTAAGAAAATGATACAGCAATTTTCGCGCTATTTTGTCACCGTCGAGATCTTACCAAATTGGGTCATGTAACAGGATTACTAGCATTATATAATTCTTGAAGCCTGCAGTAACTATTCCGTGAGAATCTATAGAAGGTCTTGATGATGAATTTTATTCAATAACATGGTAACAGCTTTCAATTCTAATCCGTTCCGCCAAAGATGAACCATTTCATTTTTTTCGAGTGTAAAAAGTATCAAAATTTAAATTCGGGTAGTTGGCATCATGTGAGTATTAGAAATATTATTTTGCATGTGAAAACAATTTATTAACAGCGGTTAGAATCATATGATAGCAGGAAGAACGAAACATGTACTCGGCACTCATTAATCGTCCGGGTTTAGTGTTTTAAATACTAACCTCTTGAAAAGTTCTATTTGAAACATTAAACATAGGAAGGTTAATAAGTTTTATTTGTTACTACAGTAATAACTTTGTTTATATATATATTCAAGATTGATAGAATAAGGAAAGGCACATAAAATAATTCTTTTGCAGTTTAAATAATTTGTAAAATTTGTAATTTAAATAGCTCTTCACTTTTAACTTAAAAGTTTATTTTATACTTAATATTTACTTTATTTTCTCTCCCAAAGCCGCCTGATTATTCGCATTTAATTATAAACAATAATCTTTAGTTAATTGTTAGGCTACTAACTTATGAATACTTCAAAAACAAGATTTTGAATATACTTTCATTCAAGCATTATCATAACTGAAGAATGAAACAGCTTTTTTTCCCTCTTTCTCTTTTTTGTTTTTAGCCCAAGGGGATAATTTCCCCAGAAGGGCTATTAATTTCGTTTTGGCATTTTGCGTCGATTCACTATAAACGGCGAAACACTTTTTAAATTGTTGCCACCAAATATTAGAGCCCTGTATTATATTTAAAGAAATTAAATAATGAAGAATCTGCATAAATGTATGTATGTTTTTCGCATTGTGATAAAAATACGGTACCTAGAGCCATCAAATTTTGAATAACGTACGTCTCCACCTGCATATGGGCATCTGAAAGCCAAAATTTGGAATTGATTTTATTATCTATTTCATATTTTGTAAACATTTAACGAATTTTTGATTAACAAACTCAAGGATTTCAAAGCGATCATTGGCAACACTGTACGGGGAAGAAATATATCTCCACAGCGCGAGACTGTGTATCGGAAATTCTAAAGGTATGACCTTTTAAATATTTTGTGATATTGCTGTTGAACTGAATTTTATAGTTTTAGTACGAAGACCATGATATTTAATAAATAAAGGTAACACACAAAACGTTAAAAAAAAGCTCCCGTTTGGGCGTAATATAAAATCTGAAAACTTTCAGATTCTTGTTTATTTTATTTATTTATTATATTTTTTAATTTTTACCTATGGAAAAAAATTTTCCTTATACTTTTCAAAAGAAGAATGAAAAAAATGTTCAGTGAGTTGAAGGAATGATATACTAAATTTACTGCTTAATGAGCTGAACATAGTAATTATCACCTGACTTTCAAGATAATTTTTTTTCACTCCCAAGTAATTTCTTTGCAACATATATATTAAAAAATTCCAAACTAAATATTTCGTAATAAGTTACATAAATATATTTTATCATTTGAGTCTGTCTTTGAGTTTAAATATATTAATGAAAATTTGGTAAAATTCTCAGTAGGAAACATATTTAGCTAATGAATTTTGCTCTCAAATTACAAAACGAAGGATTTATAGGCCAAATTACTTAACACTTCTCGATATTTCTTGAAAAAAAGATTGCTGCTATTAAAAGTGCTAAAATTAATTATTTTTATCTTATTTTTCTTTCAATAGCATCATTCCAAATTATTTCAATCCTTTTATGGCTATTATTAAGCATGTTACTACTTTCATTGTGTAATATTATTTCCTCGTTACATGGAAAATATATGAATAACTTTACAAAAAGGATGAGTTTTACAATTAACACACAATTTTTGTTGTCGCAATCCCAAGCAAGAGCAACTGTTTTTAAGTGACGTCACAGAAGGTTTCTCGAACACCTGTACCCAAAAACGCCATTTTCCTTTCCACGCATTCCGCGCACGCAGTTCCTGTTTTCACGGCTTCAATACCTGTTCAGAATTCGGTTCTACGGGACAGAAACTGCACACGGTAGACAGGCACTGTTTTTTCCCCGAACTACGCTGAAAACAACAAAAAAAGGTGGCACACCTCGCATTAATGCTGGAGAATAAAGAATTTAGCTAGAACGTAAAATGGAATTACAGCGGCTCAGATGTTTTCGCTTATTACTGAGAATGCAGCTGTTGCCTTTTCACTTTTATTTTATAACAGAAACGTTTTGATGAAGAATTAAAAAATTAGATAGTTATGAAGTGGCGTGGAATAATTTCATTAGTGTTACTCTTCATAAGGTAAGTAATAATTTCTATGAAAATTTTGCGTGAATTATGCTTTATTAAATCATATTAAATGGTTTATTTTTATATTTGTTATTTTTATTTGTTTCAAGGCCATCCCGATAAGTGGAATTTTATTTATTTAATTATTTTAATTTGATGCTGTTTGTGAAAATAACGTTAAGTGATTAAAAATTATGTTTGCGCTTAAATGTTTAAAATTAAGCATTTTTCAAATGATAAATTTTCCTAAAATGTTAGATTCAACTAAACTTTCAAAGATGTTAAATTCAAAACTATAAAATACTTTCTAAGGCTATTATAGGACTTGCTTAATTCTTATTTTTGTTCTAAACCTTTTTTTAAAAATTAAGGGTAAAAATTTTAATTTTGAACAGTTAGGTTTATTGCTTGGTGCTATTATGTGCATGTTGATATTTACGTATTTTTTCTGACAGCTATATTAGTTAAGTTAGTATTTTTAAAAAGTCTTCAAAATATTTCAATAATATTTTTTAGCCTTTCTTTTATTCATTGCGTTGCTTTTCCAAAACACCGGGAGATGCTCATCCATATTGGTTTTAAAGGGGTAAATATGTTTAAATAAAATTACGTAAGTTTTCATTAATATTATTTAATTTTTTTTTGATGTATAGAATACTTATAAAAATGTTCAATTTTATCTCTTCTATATGAATATTTTGCTAAATATTAATTCCATGGCTTTTTATATTGCATTTCCTTTTTCGCTGTGCGAATCGACATTCACAAGGTCATGCAAACTTGTTGAAGACGGAAAGAGAATATCATCTAAGGTCTGTAACTATGCTAATTAAACTGATACAGTGGCTCCCAAAAGTGTTCGTACAATTATAATTTTCATTGAAATAGGGCTCTATCCATTAATTAAAAGTAAACTTTCTGCATGAGATTTTAATAATAAGATCTATAATCTATTCGTAATAAAATTACATGATTTTTTAAATATAGCGAAACTTTATTTTTAAGAAATTAATAATCAAAAAATGACAAACTTTTTATCTCACAAAAGTCTTCCTACACTGAAATATTTTTAGATAAAATCAAAATTAGAATTATCGTTTGCCTCTTTTTTTAATTTTTGCATTCTGATGGCATTTAAAAAATCGTTTGCTTTAATTTTTTATTGTTTACTTCATAATATTCTATTTATTATTGAAAAATGGGTCGCAGTCGTAAAAAAATTACAAACAGCATTCGAAAATTGATAATTTTTCACCAAAGTAATGGTAAATCAATTCGAAATACCGCTAAATTACTTAATTTATTCCATTCTACAGTGCAGTATGTGATAAAACGCTTTAAAGAAGAAAATCGGATTGAAAACAAGGTAAGAAAAGGTCGACCGAGAAAGTTAACTAAACATTATGAGAGATTTATTATTAGAAAATTTGTGAAAAACACAAGTTTAAGTGCTGTAAAAGTTTCTGCAGAATTTAATACAAAGTTTTCTACTTCAATTTCACCTGAAATTGTTCGACGAGTTCCCAGAGAAGCTGGATTACATGGGCGTTCTGCCCGTAAAAAAAAATTGTTAGTGAGAAAAACAGAAAGCTTAGGCTTTCATTCGCAAAATCAATGATAAATACACCCGAAACGTAAAGGAATAATGTCCTATTTGCTGACGAAAGCAAATTCAACATTTTTGGTTCCGATGGTCGAATAACTGTATGCAGAAGGAAAAATGAGGAACTTCATTCTAAGAACTTAGTTGGAACAGTTAAGCATGGCGGTGGAGGTGTTCTTGTGTGGGGGTGCATGGCAACATCAGGACTAGGTAATTTGGCATTTATTCATGGCATTATGAATCATTCTCTTTATTTAAATATTTTAAGAGACAATTTAAAGTTATCAGCCTAAAATTTGGGTATTGGAAACAATTTTATTTTTAATCATGATAACGATCCTAAACATACGGCTCTCAACGTTCGCCTGTAGTGTCTCTATAATTGTCCACAGGGTTTTGAAAACACCACCTCAGTTGCCAGATTTAAACCCCATAAAACACATTTGGAAAGAACTGGAGGTTAGAATATAAAAACACGACACCAAAACGAAAAGTGAACTCTAAACAGTCATGGTGTAAAAATGGATGAACATTGATACAGAAATTACAAAACAATTAGTAAAATCTATTTCCAGACTTTTAAAAGCTGTCGGGGATGCTAAGCATATCCTGCTAACTATTAATTTAACGAAAAATGAAAATATTTACCAATATGTCAAGATTTTTTTGAAGTGTACGAAGACTTTTGTGAGATAAAATGTTTGTCATTTTTTGATTATTAATTTCTTAAAAATAAAGTTTCGCTATATTTTAAAACTATTTCATGTAATTTTGTTACGAATAGATTATAGATCTTATTATTAAAATCTCATTCAGAAAGTTTACTTTTAATTAATGGATAGAGCCCTATTTCAATGAAAATCATAAGTGTAGGAACACTTTTGAGAGCCTCTGTATGTGTTGCTAGAGTTTTTGTGTCGCTAAACTTTTACAGATTGTGGTGATATCATGAAGAGCACACGCAAGTGTATTTATAATAAAATCAAATCACTCAAATCTTATCGTTAACTAGAAAATAACTGGGGTCAGTTGCTGATTCCTGTTACTCTTAGATAGAGTAAAGGCGTTTAAAATCTTTCTATTCCCAAGTCTTCTCGGATGGATATGGAATAATCCTTGAAGCATTTGTTTATGCTATTAAAATATTATATTTATCGAAACAGAGTTTTCTTTCCCTCATTCATTTTTTAAAACTCAGCAGGACAGAGCATCCTACCCATGAATTAGGATTGAGTGTTAGTTGCAGTTAAGTTGTGATACAAGCACATCATGTAAACTAGAGCAAAATGCAGAAGGGGGATGGGAAATACGGAATTGGAGTAGTGTAAATAAATTTGCAGTATTATAGTTTCGAAAGTCGAGCAGAACTTTCTTCTTCAGAATATGAAATTCATTTTTATCCAGAATTTTTACATTCGCAACTGAAGAAGACTGTTCTGCTTGATCTCCAAAACTATACTGCAACTTTCGTGTACTTACGTTAAGCTAATTATTAGTTTCTTTAGCGTCTATCTTATTTGGTGTGTCTTTTGCAACACAAAAGCAGATTATTCAGAGGTTTTCATCTACACTTCAATATTTTCCCATTTATTCGGACCAACTTTTTCCCCAAGTAATCGAAAAGATATAACTGATAATGCATGAAAAATGAATCTGATGATAGGTAATGTATTCATGATTTGATCAGATGCACCAAGCATGCGAGTGTGCTCTGCACAAAGGGATCAGGATTTCATACTGTTATTTTCAATCTACTATCACTTGATTTGTTTCATGTAATAAAAATACAAAACAATTACAGTAATGTTTGACATATTTCTTAACATTTTTCAATACACAATGTCGGAAATTTCAGGAAACATTTAAATTTACTGAATATCATTGTTTTAGATTTAAGTATACCAAGCATATGAAAGTCCTGCCAATATGCAAAGAAGATGGCGTTTTAATTTAAAAAATATAATTTTCTGGTGGAGAAGAGTATAAAAATTACATATTTATTTTTCAATATCCCTGATATAGGCAATATTTAATTTTAAAACCGCTTCCTATTCCCAGGCAAGAAAACAGAGTTGAAGAAATAAACTAGTTTAAAGAAAAAAATAATAATAAAACGAAATTTATGAGGCTGTTTTAGAAATTACAGAATATATTCATGATCTCGATCTCGTTGCAAAGGGTCTGAAGAATCTCAGGAGTGTTTCAATATTCGTGAATGTTATTACTTCTATCAAGGTAGTGACAGAGGATCTCGATATCAATCCTGTTTTTCTAAGAACTTCAAATAAAACAAAAATAAGTTTGTATGTGAAGCACTTGCTAAGTCCACAGAGAATGATTTAGAAAATTTTAAATCTTGTTACTCCTTTCCTTATTTTTGTCACAATAGTGCCATCAATTACAGTAAGAGCTGTACAGCTGAAACAGCGCTATGACGACTTATTCACGATACAAGTTAAAAGGAATGTAATGGAAATTTATTCTAACGCTGTAAAGATATGCACATAAAATTGAACGACGACATGAAAATGACGCTAATATTTTATTTCAAAAATGAGAGCCCTTAAAATTAAGTTTCATAATATATATATGTGTGTGTGTGCCTTTCACAATTCTTTAAAATATTAATATGAATATAATTTAATTGATACTTTTCAAGATGCTGTTATATTTTATCTATTTATGGAATGCTATTCGTATCCGCATCTTTGGGCATTGGAACTTTTTCAAAGCTAAAATTATTTAAAAGTTATTTTCCATCAATCGCACCTGGAAAAAGAAATGATTTATTAATGAAAAATTATTGAATGAAACTTTGGTACATCCGTATTACAGAGGAAAACACTTCTTATAAAACTACGAATTAAATTCATAACAGAAACCTAACAAGCGAAATCCTGCATTTTTGCTGAGGCCCATAAAACATTTAGGGTAAAGGTGGTTAAAACCTTCGCAGCCGGTAGGATTCGAACCTACGCGGGGAAACCCCAATGGATTTCAAGTCCATCGCCTTAACCACTCGGCCACGACTGCTCGCTAGGTTATGATATATTAGAGTATTTAATATAAATAAGATTTTTGTGTTGATTAAAATTACAAAGGTTGGTTTACTTAAGCTGGGAAATATTAAATTGGGAATATTTAAATTAGGTTATTGCAGTGGCGTAGCTAGGATTCCAGCGCCCGGGGACTACTGAAAAATTTGCGCTCCTTTCTGTGTGCCAAGAATGGAAAACATTTCATTAAAAAATTTCGTAGCGTCAATTGGGCGCCACCTGGATGCTGCGCCCGGGGACATATGTCCCCCCTTGCCCCACAATAGCTACGCCACTGGGTTATTGGTTTATTTAAATATGGAAAAGCAAAGACTACCTAGCTGAGAAGAGAAGGGCTATCGAGGATGATTTTC